TCGTAAATACGAAGCAACAACATTGCAAGTATTTGTTGAGCTGATCATATCACAGCCAGCAAAAAAAAAAGAAAAGGCAATAAAGCAAACAGCATGAATGCATTATCGCGGGAAAGGAAGCAGTAGTACAAACGTTCAAAGAAGTTTATATCATTGCGACCACAAGAAAAAAAAGATACTTACTACTTCTTACCACAGCATCACGACCAGAGACAGACCAGAGAACCAGCATACATCAAAGACAACAGACCACAGGATAAGCAAACATCAGAGAAGAACCACCGAAGCAACGATATACCATCAAAGCAGCCACCGCCAAGTGTGCAGCCAGTGCACAGCAAAAGATCAGAAATAGATCCCTAGTAGAGTTATTCCAAGTATAACCACAGTATAAAACGCGTTAACACTGTATCTTACGTCTATTGCGCAGCTTTCAATTATACTTGCTTCAATTCTATTCACAAAGGCAGCGTTGTTTCATGAGTAGAGAGCTTGCGAAGTATAGTATATATATATATATATAAAGACGAAAAAAAAAAAGGAAAAAAAAATGCTAATAGAAGGCTGAGGCTAAAAGACGTCACTGTTATCAATGTACCGCAAGGTAAGTACTAGAATTTGATAGCTTGCTACAAGGTAGCAAAGCAAGATATGAATTAGCGATTTTCACCATGAGGTTCGCCAACACCTTACCTATTAATCCGTTACATGTAATTAAGAGGTTATATTTGACAAGGGTAGCGAATTTACGTTTGAATTGAGCTACATACTAAAAAAAAAGGCGGTATTTTAAACTATCAATAGCCCAACCTCCATAATACTCAAAATGAGGATTCATGGATTTCTGAAATCGTTTAGCCTTAATATCATGCGACTCTGAAAATAAAATTGCTTTCCAGCTAAATAAAACTTGGGGTAGAATTTAAAGGAAAATCTAATGATACCAATTTTAAGTGTTTTGGCCGACGTTATTAGGCTGATTTTTGATAGAATAGTTTTTGCGATTTTTTGGTTGTTTTTGACAGATTACCAGGTTTCTGTCATCAGAGCTTCACTTGCAATACTCATCATAGTTTAGAACAGACAAGAGCCTATCGAACAAGCCCTGATTCAAAGCTCTAGTATGGCTCTATCACGAGATATCGCCAATTTTGTACCTCGAGAGAAATTGCTATCCAGATTTTTGCCTTGCTATCACAGGCAAATTTTGCATAAAAATCGATGATTTTGCAAGATTACATTTTTTGTCATATCTCAGGAAAGATGTGTCGTATTTGAATAAAACAAAAACCATTGAATAGCTCTACGTTGGATCTACTTTTATGTAAAAAGTCTAGGTTACAAATATACGCTTCCTTCATGATTTTACTTAAAAACTCTGTATTTTACGATCTTTAGGCAGAAACGTTGTCGAACAGTTCTAAATAGAGCTATATTAGCCACGGAACTTGGTACAGAACTGAAATGCGCATTGAATAATACCACACATAGATAATGTTATGTATCTTGTACATAAATAAGCTTATTTTTCGTCTGTTTTGGAGATTCTCTAAGGGGAGGAGTATGTATCGAATCTGCACTACTTCATCATCTATACTGTTCTTCAATGTGTAGACCAAAAAGAAGGAACTATCCTTTAAGGCCTAAATCAAGGAAAAAGACTATCGTTTAAAGCCTTACATTTAAAGCGGTACCATCAGTTTAAATAGAAGAGCTACACTACTACCGAAAAGGTCAGCTCCAGTCAAACTGTCGAAAATGGATCGCTCAAAGGTAGCATTTGTTACAGTGGCGCATATAACTTTTCTTTTGTGCACCAGCATTCGTCAGCACTAGTCCATGCATGTGCCCTGTGTTTATTTTATAAACTTGAGTACCGTATAGGTGTTTCCGTGCTGTTGTCAATGAAGAAAAATGTGCTTTTGCCACTATCAACTCCAATCTTGGGGGGAGAGGGGGGGTTTAAAACTCCATTTTGGAAGAAAAGTATCATAGATAGTTATATGACGCCTTATCTTGTAGAATAAAGAAAGGGGAACAAGATACAATGAATGGATTAAGTTGATTGAGTTGGGAAATTTATAAAACATGGCGTTTGTTTATATAATACATCATCTCTCAACAACAGCCCGCCATCCTATTATCTAACATTCAATTGCACCATTACTACTACTATTATTATTATTATTTTCTTTTTATCAACATTTGACTATAGCAACATGCTACTTTCAATGCGAAATTCAAAATCGAATTTCAAAGAGAATTCAAAAGAGATGAAAAAGAGAAAAGTGTAAGAACTAGAGAAAAAGGTGCGCGAGCAATGATTCCAAGGTATAGTCTCTGCCACAAATCAATATGTTTACAAGTCATACTGGACTGTCTCATAGGCAGGAAATCAAATGGTCTCCACCAATTTGGGTATTTCATATACAGTATTGTTGTCTTTTTGCTTAGGCTGCTCTACTACTGTATTATATGCATATGATATTCAATATACTCAAAAACCTTTCATTATCGGTGTGCTTAAAACGATGGAATGGGATATGGGAATGAGGCATGAGGCATGAGGCATGATCTGAAGACGGATACATTTCAAATGGATGACCTACCAAGAAGCGGTTGATCAGCAATCCTTTATTTACACAAGTAGAATATGAAATATCAGTGTCATTACTGCCGCCTCTGGTAGTAATGGTGAAGTTGGTAAGAGCTCGTCAAGCTTAACTCGTAGGTTACCCGCAGATTCAAGTAGGCCATTTTATTTTTGACTAATCCGCAACGAGTCTCTCAGAGCTATTTATTACGATATCCAATTAACATCACTACGTAGATCCAGTATAACACAAGTGCGTTCAATGCTATGAGTATGGTGGAGTAATCCCTATGTGTGGAGATGATGGTCATTATAACCATAGAAAAGAAGGCAATAATATTGAAGGCAGTGATCATGAAGATGACAGAGAATTTGGTGTATAGGATTATGGCAAATGCAATACGGATTGTAACACTGAGCATGGTAATGGCATGATAAAAAAGACGAGGAAGGTGGTGAATGTGAGGATAAAAGCGAGGTCGAGAATGACGATAAGAATGACAATGAGGGTGACGATGGGCTGGTAAATATTAGACTTCTAACATGGTGCGCGATTGAATAAATTCTTGACGTGAGCTTCCTCTATGTGGTCAGAATGGCTGTTTTCTTTCAAAGCTCCTTGGATTCGAAAGAAAATACTGATCATAATAGAATCGTGGCAATAGAGTATCAGCGCTTGTCATCATCACTCAGAGATCACACTCAAAAGGGATTATATGGCATTGTTTTGGGATCAACTGCATTAGTATCCTCTTATACTGTATGTCACTTCTCACGGCATAAACAAGACATGCAATAAACTGACGTGATCAGACACAAACTGACCTTGATCTATTAAGCTAGTATTGTCCTTTAAATGGGCTGGGGTAAATGCAACGTACAGTTGTTGCTTAATACGCTGTGTACTATGGCTTGACCTTTCGAAAGTTGCGTACACTCTTTTTCAATAAACTTAACACACTGTCCGGAAAAGAGTAAACACTGTTTTGATATTCTCATTAATTTGCATCTTATTAAAGTCGACTACACATTGCTTGCTTCGTGCCAAATGTATCACCTTGTATTATGAGACATTGCGGTATCAATGGTACTAGCCTGTCAATCTCGCTATGCTCGATGACGGCGTCGCCCTGCGGACTCTCGCTGAAGGCGTTTCTAATCAGAGACAATAAAAACCTGCTATTTAAGTAGATTTTAAACAACTTTCCAATAATAAAAAAAACATTATATTAGAGCCAGAAAGGGAAAGGTATTTCTCCCTGTATCTTCTCCCTTTGCTTATACATTGGTATCGACCGAAGCTATTATTGAAACGATGTGAAAGAGAGTTCAAGCTTTATGCAGCATTTATATATTACATTCTCCGTTTGTGCCACAGTTTTTGGTAGTAGAATTGTCATACCATTCGTTGGTGTTGCTCTCTAGCTGGCTATGTGTAAATACAGGACTTGTGTAAGATATACAGCGACTTTTCAGGTATTGTCATTGCAAAGGGTACGTTTGTAAGGAAGCCCCCCAAAAAAAAGCATTTGGGTTAAGCAATTGCCCTTTCAAATTCCATGATTCCCATTTAATCAGTATCGCAATTATCATTGCCATCAACAGAAAGGCATTTTTTTAAAGGTTTTTATTACTTGCTCCGCGTAGACAATAGTAGCAGGACTATAATCAAGCGGCGGGCGCAATTTTCTGTGATAATATTATATATGTTTAGACAAAATATGAGAACGATTTAAAAGAGGGACTATTATAGGCTGGCATGAATGAGATCTTCGTCGATCATTTTTTGGATGTCGAGTCAGATACTATTCAGCACAGCGGCGGGAGCGAAGGAAGTTTGATCGAAGATAAGACGATAGTGAGCCTTCCAAATGTTAGACATCGCAATGATAACTATATGATGGGAGGAAGCACGAGGCCGCTGACTATATCGAATATTGTAAACGTCGAGAGTGAGGAGGGAATGGCGGATATCATCAATGGTTACCGTGGGCCAGAGGAACTCAGAGATAATACCCTGCCAGACCGCTGCCTTGGGTGGACATTCAAAAAGGAAGTGGTCAGTGGAATCTTCAACTGAGGAACAGACAAAGCACAAGGGGGACAAGTAAACAGAGGGGAACCTCAGATTTAATATAGACTGATGGGGAATGCAATTGTTGATGAATCGATATACGACATTTCTTTGGATCATGGTCAGGGACAAAGACCAGAAAAACGACCATCGGGGAGATGCTATGGCAGCCAATCGTTGAGGAACGACGGAAGCAGATGAGCATGCTTGCCGAAACGATTTGGATCTACAGCCAGTGGAAGTCATTGCAAGGTTGTTGTCAGTTGTGAGGTGATCAACAAATGGTTGCAATGAAGGACTGGATGGTGAAGGAAAGACAGCGGAGGAAGGAACTCACAGAGGGAGAAAGAAGGGTTGCAACTTGAATGTGCCTTTTGCAATGCCCTGAATCAGTTGTCGAGGTGCACGCTGCCATACGGCAAGTGTGGGGTCGAAGGAACGTTTCCAATGGAGAAATTGCTTAGTTGTATGCACAGCAAAGACGTCGGCGACAGTCATTGAATGGATTTTGCGAGGCAATCTGACACCAAGTAGAGGGTCGGAAAATATGACGATGGATAGAGGCAGCATGAGAGCAGTGGGCAAGTTGATCACGACGTCGTCAAAGTTCCTCGGTAGCATGTCGATTGATTTGTACATCATGTCAATGGTGTTTGCGCGTCGTATTGTTATGAGCCGTCGTCGTGCAACTGGAAAGAGCAGCGGTAGTTGATGTTGAGAGGAACGGTTGTGGTTGTTGATATGATATACGAGAATAGCCAGCAGTGGATTATTAGTGGAAGACGAGGAATCCAATTGTAGTAAGGGAGATACCCAACGAAAGTACAATGCAGCATACTGGAGATTGACGTCGAGTATGCCGAGACCACCTTGGAATAATTGAAGCGAGCATTGGATGCTCGGCAGAATAAGTCTATGTAATACTTCAACAAACGAAGATCCTGTTTGTCATGTACAAAAACGAGTGCATCATCGGCATAGCAAAGTATTTTCGTAGGAATAACGGAAGCGGCAGCATTCACTTGATTTTCCATTTCTTAGCCACGGAAATCCCGGTCCTGTAGAATGCTTTGTAGAAATGGCTCAAAAGCTAAATCATAGCATATGCAAGAGATAGAGTCGCCCTGTTTGAATCCACGTAGCTTAGCTATTGGATCAGTAAAGCATCCATTGATGTTGATCTTGATTTGGTTGTGTGCCATGAGATTGTAGAGACAATTAACAATACTCGCTGGAAATCCAAAGCGATTCAAGACAGCCCGAAAGTAAGACAGATTAACACGGTCATAAGCTTTTTCTTGGTCAAGGAGCAGCCCAATGTCTCGATGGATAATAGGAGTTGTACCCTGCTGGTTGGCACAGAAAGACATTTAGGTCAGCCAGCAGCAATGCCCCAGCCAAAATTGGTTCAAACTCAGTTTGTCTTTTCTGTTCAGGATTGGATAGATATCAATTTTCTTCGACTTCTTTAATCTATTTTATGGTATTCGACTATATAAACTGTGATGATCACCTTACGCTTCATAACACATTCTTGAAGTACTTTTTAAGGGGCCTCCAATGGTGCTAATTGTAATAAGTGTTTTGACTGAACCTATTTAGCAATTTGTAAAAATATGAAAAGAGGTTTCTGGCCAAAATGTCGAAATTTTACATATCAAAGTCCTGCAAAGATGATTTCTGGGGTTACTTTAGGTCGATAGAGACATTTTGGTTCAATACGTACCATAGCAGAAGTCTTCATTATTAGGGTCAAAAACGCGATCGTTTGATTTTCGATGAAAACCATGAGGGGTATCTCATGCTTTTTGGTCGATTTTTGGCCATGTTTTTTGGGTCCTAAAAAAAAGTTGAGCAAAGGCGTCAGAAAGTAACTGCCAGATGAGAGCAACTGTTTGGTGCTATTCTGACGATCTAAAACGACCTTGAACTCAAGAAAACGCAGCTCAAATGCACTCAAATTGTGCTGTATTACGCACACTCTTGACTAAAAAGGGATAATATCTGTATGATACTTGCCCGTATATGAAATAGCTACGTGTATATGGATGTAGAGCATAACATAAGAACCAGGTCCACAGATGATATGAAAGGTTCTCATGTGTAAGTGGAGGGTCAACATGAAAGTAGCAGTGTTTTGATAAGATACGCAAAAATACGGCAAAATTCATAGTGACCTTCCGATATTATTATTCAATACCGGTTATCAATGTGATGATGCCTTCTGTAAATGTTAATCAATGGCTCGAAACGAGCCCCAGACACCTTCGTTTCACTTTCATATGAAGGGCCCAAATGCGAGAATGCAGGAATTTTTGGTACTGAAAACCTTTTCTACTACTATAAAGCTCTGAATGACCATGCCTCAATGTTACTAACATTTCAATGGCTTAAAATTTCAAGACTCGTGCAGCGACATTTTACATCAGGTCAGAGAAAACAGCAAGAGCAAATCTGTAGCATTGTTTGAAATCTGACTTTTTGCCCTGCTGTTGTATACATTTATCATTGCTACCTTGCTCTTAATAGACAATCGTCGTAGGTTTTTTTTTAGAAAAAACACATCATATAGATATAAAGTATGTTAAAAAGCTTTTCTCTATGGTTCAGGGATTACAAATATCTAGATATTCAATAAATCACATTCTTCGAAAAGCTATGCCAACAGTATATACCTATCGGATGCTAGAGCGGAACATACCGTAATTTCATGCAGTAATTTTAATTGGCTAAACACGATTATGTAGCAACGCTGTGTGGTCTACACTCATGTCATATTAGCATATAACGGATAGTTGCAAGTAAACCATTGACAAATCAGCATTATGTTCGTATTGTTTGATATTTGTGGATACTTGATCAGGGCTTTGGCCTTGCATATCCATTGAAATGGCCCATAATGTCAACCTTTATCCTCTTTTTACATCCCAGTGGTGGGCATTTTTCTACTGCTACATTGGTCTATTATATATTAGAAGATGGATGACACTTAGGGCTACATAGCTAAAACGTAATTACTATCATTGACGTTAAATGTGCACAAAGCACTATAGATCCTATCAATTATATTAGGGTGAATGGCCCGTAATTTTATGGCTTGTATGTAGTATGATTTCATTCAAATGCAACATGAGCAGTAATTCATACAAATACAGGCTGGCCAACAAAGGAATTATCCTTGATCCTTTGAAACGTATAGAGCGGACGATTCATGTTCTGGTCACACCTAACGATGCGGAAGTCCAATAAAAGGTATCACCCCGGGATGTAATGTTTGCTATAATTTTACTATTACGCGCCCATGGATGGCAGCCCTTTTGTTTTGTTTTTTCCTTTACTCTTATATCTCTCGATTACAAATAAACTCGAGGGTTTAATAGTAAGTATTGCACAGAATGCCTCGAAACAAATGCAAAGGTTGATGTAGCAAGATCGTAGCAGAAACGCACATTTGGAATGAGCTCATCTATAAGATTAACGGGGCGTAGAAGCGACACTGATGTTGTGTTAACAGAAGAGATTGCAAATGCTGTAAGTTGGAGCTAGAAGAGTACATCGAGAGATAGGTAGAATTAACCAAGAAGATATAGTTGAGAGTGGAATTACCTCGACGTTATCGCCTGGCACCCGAGATGACACTACTATACAGTCTAGATCAGCATGGGATCAGCTTATCCTCGCTTTATCGATTAGTGAAAGCCAACAAAGGTCCATGTGTGCTAGTGATAAAGGATGCAGATGATAATGTATAGTCAGCAGTATATTATACAGCATCGATATTCATTATGTGCCATTGTGTAGGTGTTTGGCGCATTTTTGAATGAGCCTTTGAGGCCAGGAACTCGCTATTACGGCACTGGTGAATGGTGAGTTATCTAGTGAAGGGAGAAAGAAAGAAATCGCTTATTTGTATGAATCTTGCTAGTTTTCTATGGAAATGGAATTCAACGGAATCCCAAATCAAAGCATACAAATGGACTGGCAAAAATGAGTATATGATCCTTTCAGACATTGATTTCATAGCGATTGGCGGAGGGTAAAGTTACTAGTGCGCATTAGACAAGATGACACTAACACGTCTGTACTAGGGAGGGTGTATTCGGCTTATGGATAAACTCAGAGTTGGAGAAAGGTTATAGTCAGACTTGTCCTACTTTTGATAATGAAAGGTTATCGCCAAAACCCGAGTTTGAATGTGTAGAACTGGAAGTTTGGGGATTTCGTATCTGATGACATTTCAATTGTATTATGCTATAGATTTTATTTTGCAGTGATAAAGAAAACAATCCTGTTCAACATGTCGTTCGTATGGAATTTTCTCTCAAGTCTTATCTAGTCTATTCATTTAAGGAGAATTTACATTGTTTGCGTTGTGTTCAGGTGTAACTGTAAAGAAAATCTCGGGAAAAATCTCGGGCAATCTCAACAAAGTCGCAGGAAAATAATTCTTCGACACACACAGGAATCATATTATGTGTCAGGCATGGCCAGTACTCAAATAGTGCTTGACGACTGTCCGTAGCTGCTATACCATGCATGAAAGATTATCTCAGGGCAAAGCGATTTTTGCGTTGATTACTTCAAAAGACTTTAGCAATCAGGTTAATATCATGCATTGCTGATGGACGGATGAAACGGCATAGCTGGCAGGAGTAGAAGCTGCAATATGTACGATGAAGCTTAACCCTACAACACCTTCCATCAGCACGGCATATAATTCTTCAACATTTACTTGAGAATGGCATTAAATAATGATGAATTTTTGAGAAATCAGTGCTGCTTGGATGGAATCTACCAGCTGCGCAAGCAGTAATGGGCGCTAGCATAGATGTATCAAATGGAATTAGGTTCTACGAGATAGATTTCAACACATTTTCATGAAAACGCTACTCTGGAACTGACTTGTTCCGATAAATGGACTTCAAGTTCCCCCTTCAAGTACAACAAAAAAAAGACGAGAAAGAGAGAGAGAGAGAAAAGTACATCTGAGCCATTCATGGGGCAAAATCTTTGTGCAAGCCATAGTTTGGGGCGTGGATCCAGGAATCGTTTAATTAAATGCTGTTACTAATGAAGATGCCGCGCAACTAGCAGAAGATGCTGTCATCACATTGCGTTGAATCAGTATTGCTGCTTTTCCATCTGAAAAAACGTTCAAGATGTAACATCATTACACGAGCAAAATCTGATATGGTTTTGATAAGGTTACTCTTTCAAGTCGCGTTCAAATCATCTGCAGTTGTGGCATCACTGGCCATGCCCCGTTCTCTTTAGATGAAGATTGTCCTAGTAACTTGCAATGGCTCCAATGTGTATTCAGGGCTTCAATGGACTACGCTGCCTAGGCAACGATGTGTAGCAGACTATTCTTTATCAAAATGTCGAATCCATTCAGGGTCCATTCATTTGACGTCTTCTCATCAGGGTCCAATCAAAAGTAGATGTAGGAGATGCATTTAGCCCCAAAACTGATAAATGCTCCAAGTTTGATTGGCTGTATTCGCGTTTGCGTAATATTGTTCCGTGGAGAGGTCATTTAGGCTTAAGCCAGTCCTTTTGATTCTATCATCTCTGCCCATGTTGCTAATGGGAAACGTGTCACTACGTGTAACTAAACAATGGATTGTAATACAGGAGAAAAAAGCAAATAAAAGTTGGGAAATCCCTGAAATTGTCCATATGGAAAAATGCAAACTACCTTTGCCGTGATCAGATGGGATGGTTCATCACTCGATTGTGTGTGTGTGTTTGTGTGTGCGTCTGTACAAGACTTAACTGCTGCAGCCATGGTTGGGATTGATTTACCTGACCAAGAGATGGATTTCAATTTCGGGCGTAAATCAAAAAATTTAACCTTTTGGATTATAATAACAGGATGATGAAAGTGCTTATAAATACATTATCTTGCAAATTAGACCACACTATATAAAACTGTCTTCTTTTTTCTTTTTTCTTTCCTTCTTCTCTCTTTACTCTATTTCACCTTTTAAAATGTCTTCTGCTGTTCAATTGCTTCGTGATCAAGTCGCAAAAGAGCTCCAAGGCTCTGTCACCATCATCGGTAAGGAAGTGACACATTCATTCCCCCTGTCACTTGCTAGTTTAGATCAATCTGACATTGTCATTCACACTAGTGCTTGGTGCTTCTGGTGATCTTGCCAAGAAAAAGACCTACCCTGCCTTGTTTGGCCTCTATCGCAATGGCTTCTTGCCTGAAAATGTGCAGATTGTTGGCTACGCACGCACAAAGATGGATCATGAGGAATACTTGAAGCGTGTTACTCAATACATTAAAGTGGGCGATGATCAGGCCAAATTGGACGAATTCAAGTCTATCGCTAGCTATGTTTCTGGTCAGTATGACGATGATGCCTCTTACCAAAACTTGGACACGTTCATCCAAGAGAGCGAGACGAAGCGTGGCGTTCCAAGCGGCAAGAAGAATCGTGTCTTTTACATGGCCCTGCCTCCCTCTGTCTTCATCCCTGTTGCCAAGGGATTAAAGCGTAATGTATATGCAAAGGAGGGTAGTAACCGTCTCGTGGTCGAGAAGCCTTTTGGTATGGACTCTGAGAGCTCAAATCACCTTGCCAAAGAATTAGGCGCACTCTTTTCAGAGAATGAGGTGAGTCATCCTACCATGTACAACAGGGATTTTCCTTTTTACTGACTGTAACACAAAATCAAATACAGATCTATCGTATTGATCACTATCTCGGTAAGGAAATGGTCAAGAATGTCATGAACCTTCGCTTTGCCAATGTCTTATTTGGCCATGCATGGGATCGTACCTATATCGATAATGTGCAAATTACCTTCAAGGAGCCCTTCGGCACTGAGGGTCGTGGTGGCTACTTTGATGAGTTTGGTATCATTCGTGATGTGATTCAAAACCGTAAGTGATTTTGCATATGAGGGTGGGAAAATGGGACAGATAAGCTCTAACGTAAATGATAAACAAATTGCAGATTTACTCCAGGTTCTCACATTAATCGCCATGGAGAGACCCATCTCCACAGATTCTGAAGCCATTCGTGACGAAAAGGTCAAGGTCCTCAAGTGCATTCAACCCATCGCTATCGAAGACACTCTGTTGGGTCAGTATGTTGGTGCTAACGGAAAGCCTGGCTACCTCGAGGACGAGACACTCAAGAACAAGGACAGCCTTACACCTACTTTTGCTGCTGCAGTATGCTGGATCAACAATGAGCGTTGGGAGGGTGTTCCATTCATCTTGAAGGCTGGCAAGGCCTTGAACGAAGCCAAGGTTGAAGTGCGTCTGCAGTTCCACCACGTTGCTGGTAATTTGTACGGCGGTTCTGCTCGTAATGAGCTTGTCATCCGTATTCAACCTAATGAAGCTGTCTACATGAAGTTCAACAACAAACAACCTGGTTTGTCTTACCAAACCATCCAAACAGATTTGGATTTGTCTTATCACTCTCGTTATGCCGATTTATCTATTCCCGATGCTTACGAATCACTTATCCTTGATGTCTTGCGTAACGACCACTCCAACTTTGTGCGTGATGATGAGCTTGATCGTGCCTGGAAGATTTTCACTCCCTTGCTGCACAAGATTGACAGACACGACGCTGATGTGCAAATCAAGCCTTACAAGTATGGCTCAAGAGGTCCCAAGGAATTGGATGACTTTGTCAAAAAGTACGGTTACCATCGCGATACCAAGGTGAACTATCAATGGCCTCTCCAAAACGTCAACCCCTCTGCCAACAAGCTTTAGACGTCTTTGCGTCTTTTGTGAATACAATCTGTGCATTATCTCATCCATCCACGTTTCCCAAACTCGTTTTCCTATTATTTAGCTTTCTATATCCCTCAATCTTTTTCTTATCTGGATTTCTTCTTGTATTGTAATCAATCTGAAAGGTGTCTTTCATCTTTTATACATATATATATTTGACATTAATAACATGGGCCATTTATGCGCTTACAAATGTTGTATCAAAACCTTGTGCTTCCTGATTTTTAATCAAATTACGCTAACATGTATTAAATTTTTGTGCGACTTATGCAACCAGATCCATGAGAAAACTGAGCCATTTAAGCTTTGATTGCCTGTATTTGGTAAGTCTCTGCAAGAAACTGACATGTATCGTGCCCATCCTTTGAGCTTTGAGTCATCTGAAATCATGCTGGAACAATAAAAGCTTATGTAAAGCACTTTTTCCGCGACGATGGTTGAATTGATATCGAATGCAGATCTTGTATTGCCGAGTCATTGGGTCATGGTCTAATTTTTTCTTTTCAGAGAAGATGAATGTGGATTTCATGGAGGTTTATAATATAATATAGATGTATAGAAAATGCAAACAAAAATAGGGGGTTGTGGTAGTGGTATAACATATAATATTAAAATTTCATACAAAAAAAAAAGAAGCTATCATGCGTAATAGAAAAAGGCACATAATTTCATAGATAGAGCGATTCAGTTGAGCCATTTTCTGGTTTGAGAATCGTGTTGTGTTGCTGTTTTATGCTTGTGGTTAGTATATTTCGATGCTCTTGGCGCAGGAGCTTGCTGTTTCGAATTTCCACTGAAATCTGTATTTAGAGCAGCAGGAGAGGAGGATCTCGAGACAGAACGCTGCATTGAATAGCGTCTATTTGGTATAGGAGATGTTGAAGGTGATGAATGAGGCTTGTTAGTTGTAGTTGATATTGTTGAATTATATAAAGTAGGTGATGATGATAGTCTTCGCGAGCTATTCAACGTATTATTGATATGTATTGATGGGGTGGTAGATGCATTGCTTATGCTTCCAAGTGATGTCCTTCTTGATACTTTCTGCTGATGCAAACTTTTTGTGCTGGAGCTTCTGTCACCAATGACTGATCTGGGTCGAGCATGAGGAGCAGCGTCGCTCCGTTTCATGTTCCTGTATTGACCTATATCTCACATTGTAAATATCATTTGATCCTCTCTACTACATATAACACCCTTTCCAAATAATTACCATCAATGTCGGTAATGACACGACCTGAAACTTTTTTGGTTTGCGTAACAGCAGATTGAGCCTGCTCAATGAGTTCCAGTAGCATGGACCGGATCCGTTCAAAGGCGGCATCTTCGTCTTGCAAATATCGCTCTAGATCAGTTGGTTCAAGTATATCAGGAGAGGACTTGAAAGAATGAGGTTAGTAAAAGCAAAGAAGCTGAGCAAAATAAAAAGGTCATATGGCCGTTTATTTAATATATATAAATATAATACCATAATACCATTTTTGCTGGAGCTTGTGTCTAATCCGGGAGTCAGTGGCCTCTCTATCCTGCATGAATGATGAGCCTCGATAATCCTCTCTTTCATACCCGCCCCTTTTATATCACACTTACGCAGCTAGTCTACTCTGTAGATCACTGATCGTGTTTGATTGCTCCTTCACTACTGTTTCCAATGTTTGATTCAAGGTCAATAGTGATTTTTTTTCAATCTCCAAATCCTCGATCTGCAAAACAAGAGTCATCCTGAGCATGACATCCATCGTAACTGATGCAGAGCTATACCTTTCTATGCACTTTGGCATCCTCCACTGGCTGCGGTTTGGCCTGTACTGCTATTGTACCTCTCAATAAAAATGATCCCAGACCTCCACTCATGATGCCAAATCCAGGTGTAAATGATGAGGGCATCCTATGGGCTTTTTGATACGTCTCCTCTTCAGTGGTCCTTGAGGTAGTGTTCATTTGTGTATCGTCGTCAATATCGTCTATAGCCATATCTATGTCAAGCTCGTCGTCGTCGTCGCCTTCATCCTCCCCAATGCTAGCATGCTTGTTTTCATCCTCGCCATTCTCATCATCAGCGTCGTCTAATGTGGTAATACCATGCTCCAAATCGGTCTGTATTGTAGGACGACGATTAAAATTAGACAAGTTGATTCGACTTATTACCAAGGGGGGTTGTTGCTGAGATTGCTTTTGATGCATATTTTCGAAAGGATACTGGCTAACGTTGGTCTTTGTAAGAGTGTTGGTAGAAGATTGACAAAAGAAAGAAAGCCCCGGACTAGTTTCAGAAGAAGGCTGGCGTATCATGGGAGTAGTTGTTGTGGTATTGTGGTGCGTTGGATGGGTATTATAGACAGTATTGCTAGTTGTAGTTGTTGACGCGGTTGAAAAAGTACAAGAGGAAGAGTTGGTTGATGATGAAAAATTAGGCTGTCTCTGTATTATTTGTGAAGACGAGAACTGGCTGGAGAATAAATGTTGCTGCTGCTGCTGCTGCTGCTGCTGTGGTTGTTGTTGTGCGTGCTGGTGATGGTTGAATGGACGGATAATATTGACAGCCTTCGGGTTAGGCGTCAGATCCTTTGTTAGCATGTGAGGTTAAATGGCTCGAAATTGTCTATTGCACTCTTCACTCTGAAATCAAGCAAGATGGTAGACAAATAAACAAAGCCGATGTGAGAAATAATGAGATCAAGTGAAGAAGAAAAAGGAAAGAGAGAAGGGGAAATATGAAATTAAAAATATGGCCTGGAAATAAAACTCAAAAATCAATACACATGTTGAGCATATCTTTCCGTAGCTCTGAAAAAATTGATCTTGAGCATTCTGATTTCCTCTCTCTCTCTCTCTCTCGATCATTATAGAATACAAATAGTAATACCAACTGTTCATGTACCATTTCAGTCTTTCATTTCTCGGCTGTTGTGGGTTCGCATCTTGGTAATTCCGCAATTGCCATACACAAAGTTTACCAAGACCGGAAGAAGGAACAAAATCAGGTACATAATCAAAAAGGACCATGATGATCATAATGGACATACCCTACTTGAAGTATATATGTACAAAGCGTCTGTGCGGAAGGAGGAAGGGGAAAAGCTACAGGGCAACTCCCCAATTCCACGTAATACTCATTCCGTGTTTTTTTTTTTTTAATATTTAGCCTTCCTTCAACAAAAAGAGTAAACAAAAGTCTGCTTTTGGAAGGTTTCATTCTGGCACATTTATCGTTTTAGAAATGGATGCTAACCTGAAAATTTCAGTTACAGCCCTTTAAAATATTTTGGTGGAATACCTGGTGTGCAAGCCGAACTTCTTCTGTAGAGTAGCTTACCCCCTAATGTACCTCCATTGGCATGAGATGGAATTTGCTCTACTAAATACTTGGACTTTATATATTTCTATTAGTAGATAAATAGACTGTTTTATAAATCAAATATATATATATGGCTAATACCAATTTTCAATCTATCTGACTATTTCAGTATTCATACCTAGAGTGCTCGAGGTGGAAAAGGTACCAATGTAAGTAACGGTTCGCTGGCCTTTTACAAATTACGCAAATGGCATAATATTGCGTAGCATATCAGCCAATATTGCCCAGAACAATAGTAAACACTCTTTAATTGTATCTTATGCACACGCGGTGAATTGACATGGCAAAAATGGGCCATTCTCAAATGAGTCCTCTGCTTTTAAAGATTGAATGAAATTTCAAAATACAAATCTGGCTAGCTAAATATATGAGCAATCGTAGTAACTGTTTACTAGCCGATCTATCTCGCTACGCTCGATGACGGCGTCGCCCTGTGGGCTCGCCAAACACATTCCAAATCAGATATAATAAAATGCTGGTATATCAAGTAAACTCTAAACAATCAGTTAATAATAAAAAAAAAAAGACTATATTAGAGTCAGGAGGGGGAGGCATCCATTCGCTGGTTTTGCTCTTGAAATGGTGACATAAAGCTTGCCATGCGTAAATACAAGACTTGTGTAAGATATACAGAGACTTTTTTGAGATTTTGTCATTGCAAAAGACACTTTTATGAGGCAAAGCTCCCCCAAAAAAGTATTTGTGCTAAGCGATTGTCCTTTCAATTCCATGATCCCCATTTAATCAGCATTGCAATCATCATTGTCATCAACAGAAAGGCATTTAGGTCAGCCAGCAGCAAGCCGCCGCCAAAATCAATTAAAACTCAGTTTATTCTTTCTGTTCAAGATTTGGCGGATTTCGTCTTTCTTCGACTTCGTTAATCTATTTTATGAGATTCGACTATATAAACTGCGATGATCACCCTACGCTTCCTAATACGATGCCCCTGGTGGTAGGGCGAAGTGGTAGAACTCCCGTATGCCAACGGAAGGATCCCCGGTTCAAATCCTGGTGAACGCAAGTTGTTTGATTTTTTGACGTAGTACTGATGTCCTCGTTTGGTGTTTTGTACTCTTATCCATGATCTATATTTTGACGATTTCCGCAAGACTGTACTGGCTCTAGGAGTCGCACCTTATTAGTAGTAGGTTTCTTTCCCAACTTAATTCAAAAATATCTTATTCCCCTTCATTGCAGACATTGGGTCCACCAACAGTCTTTTCTATCCCTCAGTATGACATTTAAAGGACTTTAAATAAAACCTGGAGCTCGACTCCCCTACAAAAAAAAAAAAAATGCTTAAGCTTTCCTAGAGTACTTTTCAAGGTGCATCCAATGGTACTAAGTAAAATAGATGATTTGAATAAACTTATCAAATGATTTATGAAAATGTGAATAGAGGTTTCTGGCCAAAATGTCGAAATTTTACATATCAAAGTCCCACAACGATGATTTCAGAGGTTGCTTTGGATCGAGAGAAACATTTTGATTCAAGATATACCATAGCAAAAGTCTCCATATTCAAGGTGAAAAACGCGATCGTTTGATTTTCGATGAAAACCATGAGGGGTACCTCATGCTTTTTGGTCGAATTTTGTTCATGTTTTTTTGATCCTCAAAAAGTTGAGCAAAGGTGTCAGAAAGTAACTGTCAGATGAGAGCAAGTGTTTGGTCCTATTATGACAATCTAAACCCGCCTTGGACGCGAGAAAACGCAGCTCAAATGCATTCAAATTTTGCTGTATTATGGACACTAAGGACTAAAAAGTGGAAATACCAGTATGCTACTTGCCCGTATATGAAGTAGCTACGTGTATATGGATGTAGAGCATCAGATAAGAGTCAGATCCACAGATATTATAAAGGGTTTTCATGTGTAAGTAGAGGGTCAGCTTGAACGTAGTAGTATTATGATAAGATACACAAGAGTAACCGGTAGCTCGAGCTGTCGCTGTGCAGGTTGGTTCTCTACCTTCGCTACGCTTCGGTGAGAACCATCCGAAGCATAAACACTCATATGATTAGTGATTATATATCAATCAACAATCAGGGTTCTTCTTCTAACATTTTAGCTATATTAATTTTGGGATATTAGCCAAAGGCCCGCGACAGCGCCAGCCGTTTGAACGTAGGTTGGTTTCCACCGAAGCGAAGCGTAGGTCAGGAAACCACCCGAAGTGCTGAAAGGCTCGTATGTCATAATGAAAGTTGTGTAAGTGAGTGACCATGCGGCTTTGCGAAAGACATGATTCTAAAAAGAAACGTCACCATATTTCAATCTCTTATATTTGTTGGTAAACAAACAACACTTTTTTTTCATATTTTTTTTTTCATATTTTTACAATCAAAGGAAGATATTGGGCAGCCATCCATGTTCAAACGGGGTCAACAAAGGGAGCTGACAGCTGCTGCACGTTTACGTAGTTGGGTGCGTGGATAATGATGTGGATATTGTATACCAGTACAACCGGTCATTATATGTGTCGCTTTGGATCAAACGTTCACTTGAGGTTTGAGTAGGAAATGGCAGTGCTAGAAGAAAAAGCTGGTCAGGTTTCTTCTTAACGCAGCTTCTGGGTCCTGTATCCGGTCAATTAGTTGGGTAATTGGCTACTGATGGTTGAATACTAGATGACTTTTGTGATCATTTAGCCCATTCGGTATAGGAACGCTCTGAATATAGTAGGAGGGGATCAGCCACTGAGCATGGATTAGTTTTCAAGCATCCAATTAGTGCTGGAACCGCACTCAAAGGAAGTATTTGCCGCTGGGTACAGCTGTACAGGTGGAGTCGTTCGCTAGACGCAATCAAGAGAGATATTCAAACGGGGTCAACAAAGGGAGCTGACAGCTGCTGCACGTCTACGTAGTCGGGTGCGTGGATAATGATGTGGATATTGTATACCAGTACAACCGGTCATTATATGTGTCGCTTTGGATCAAACGTTCACTTGAGGTTTGAGTAGGAAATGGCAGTGCTAGAAGAAAAGGCTGGTTAGATTTCTTCTTAACGCAGCTTCTGGGTCCTGTATCCGGTCAATTAGTTGGGTAATTGGCTACTGATGGTTGAATACTAGATGACTTTTGTGATCATTTAGCCCATTCGGTATAGGAACGCTCTGAATATAGTAGGAGGGGATCAGCCACTGAATACCTCGATGATCAAGTTGACGAATGTCTCCCTGTGCAAATGTATCCTAGGCACTGCATTTTTTCTAATTTTTCAATCAAGGACAGGAAAAACTCACTTTTGTTTTCCTTTATCGTTGTCTGTCGGTACTAGATATCATTCACTCAAATCGGAATGGACCCTTTCATGCAGACAATCACATCTGAGGCATACTTGGTTGAAAAATCGCTGCATCATGTTTCTAATTTCTGTTCTCTGTTCTCTGCTCTCTTATCTCTAGTCTACATTTTGTTTTTGCACGTGGGATACACAAGAAAGAAACCTGACAAAGATCAATGAATCAATGTATAGTTGTCAACCGTAAAAATGCTCATGAAACAGTATATAAATTGATATTCGCATTTGCTGTAATCAAACTTGTCATGCATTTCATTTCTGGTGTAAGGAGAGTGGTCGGGCGAAGCCATAATAATTCTCAAATCGCAACTTTTTTCTTATGGGCTTTTAAAAACATCGATTGTCTTTATAATGATAGTTGTGGCATCGATTTTGCCAGCCACAGCTGCCAAAAGCTGCTTAAAGCTCTGCTCCGCATTCGCTTCAGATTGGCCAAACTGACAAAAAATCGACTTGTTCGATCAACTTCCTCAGATTCAACTATATAAACTGTGTTGATCAACCTATACTCCCTAATGCATCTTTGGAGCACTTTTCAAGGCGCATCCAATGGTACCAAGTAAGATAAATGTTTTGAATAAACTTGTTGAGTAATTCATAAAAATATGAAAAGAGGTTTCTGGCCAAAAAGTCGAAACTTTACATATCAAATTCCCACAAAGATGATTTCAGGGGTTACGTTAGATCGATAGAAACATTTTGATTTATTATATGCCTTAGTAAAAGTCTTCATTATCAAGATGAAAAGCGCGATCGTTTGATTTTCGATGAAAAGCATGAGGGGTGCCTCATGGTTTTTAGCCGATTTTTGGCCGATTTTTGGCCATGTTTTTTTTTTGGTCCCCAAAAAGTTGAGCAAATGTATCAACAGGTTAGTGCTAGGTGAGAGTAACCGTTTGACGCTGTTCTGACGACCTGAAACGGCCACTAGTACGAGAAACCACGGCTCAAGTGCACCCAGATTTTGTTGTGGTTTTCATACTTTCGAGCAGTAAGAGGCAATGTAAGTATGCCATCTGTCCATGTACAAATTTTTCTTGTTGATACAGTCATGGAGCATCGTAGGAAAGTCAGACCTACAACGACAGACTACTTATGGAGGCCACTCACTTGATAATCCAGCGAGATTTCAGTATTTAGTAAGGTATGCAATAACATCAAAATGCAGGCTCATTGGAAATTAGCGAAATCATTCTCATTGCACTGCCATCAATTCAACGACGCTCCAACTATTCTTTTATAACCATGGTGAACAAGCTAGCATATCCAAGGTCAAGCCAAATCATAGTCAATAGCAGCCTACAAAGAGGCCTTCGAAAAGGGTTTATTAAGGTTACAGATGTATAGCAAAGTAAAAAGTAAAAAAAAAAAAAAAAAGATTCTCAATTTATAATCTATGTATGCATATTACTCTTTGATAGGATAGTTGTATCGTTCTCTCCAGAGCTCAGATACCTTTCGTTCGTTACCAAGATTGGTGCCATCCAAAGCACTCAAATTATTCAAACCACCCTCTCTATGGTCCTTGTTTTCTTGATTTTGTGTTAACTCAAGGAACATGTGAAGCCAAGACATGGAATTCCAGATGGTAAAGTACTCTTCTGTTACACACTTCTTTGCGTTAGCACTCATCTTGGCGTGCAACTCGGGCTCCTTAAAGAGTCTGTACAGTGTATCAGCAACAGCCTGGTAATCACCGATGGGCACGAGGAAACCATCTTGATCGTTCTTAATTTGGAGAGGGATACCGCCAGCGTTATAAGCAACAACAGGAACACCCTTATGCAGAGCCTCAGTTACCTTGACCTCAAAACCTTCTCTGTGAGATAATTGCAGTGCAGCGTAAGCACCACGCATAATCACATTCAGCAATTGATCCGATGCGGGTAAGCGAACAGCAGCGATATCGCTTGCAATGGTGGAAAACTTTGCAGATTCGATAATAGATTGAGCTTGTTCAAAGATGATGGTACCATCAGGGTCATCGATACTACCATGACCACAAATAACGAGTTGAGGAATACGATAGTCTTCAAATTCACCGTCCATCTTCTCACGCAACAAACGATAGGCCTCGAGCACATCAGGGATACCCTTGGATGGATCAAAACGAGCAACTTGAACAATATAGGGTCTATACCAATCAATCTCATTCACACCCAGATCGACGCAGACACGATTGAAGACAGATTGATAGTAAGTAATACACCAATCAGTCATGGGTTTGTTCAAACCGTCCAATGGATCAGTAGCAGCGGGGAGTAGAACTGTGTTTCGAGAAGGAACGCTCTCTGGGATAAAACCTTTGATAGGGTGGGCAACAAAAAGATCAGCTTGTTTGATGAATTGCCACAAGAAGCTAAGGTAGACAGAGGGTCAATCGGAATCCTTGTAATAACACATGTGATAAAGACTTACTTCCAAGTATTGGCAGTGGAGCCCTCTGGTTCGTTTTTGATCAAGTCGGATCGAATTTCAATATGAGATCTAAAGATGATTCTTGTGTTTGGAGCATGTTTACGGATGTGAGGGATGATACCACAGACTTAATTATGCAATTGCAGAAATATTAGCAGTTGTACCACACCAAACAGTGACACATGTTGTTACCTTGAGGGTCGTCAATGACAATAACATCCGAGTTCTTGATGGGACCTTTGTCGTCTAACCAGAATCTCTTTACATTTTCATCAGACCACTCAATGAAGGCTTGCTTATCCTCGTCACTCAGCCAGACATCAGGGTCAGCAACACCTTGAAGGACGTTGTGGAACTTTCTCTTGGTAATATCAAATACCTCGGGCTTGGGGCGAGCAACGTACCCTACACAAAGAATAAAATAGAAGATGTCGGTACATGCTAATTCATCACCACGTTAAAATACAAGTTCACTTACAGTGGACCTCGACATCGTTTAAATGAAGGAATCTCAATAAGGCATGACGCATTAGAGCGACTAAAATCAACATGTAAGGTTAGACTTGTGTGAAATAGCTAGTATGATAATGCAGTGTGCGCTTGCTTACCTCCGCCACCTTGAGGGGTTGAGTTGAAATAAGATACCCTTAATTTCTTTTCCTTGAATGTAGTGGCCATCTGTTGAAACACATCCCAAGTTTCCTTGCAGACAGTGTTCTGGTAGTCGCTTTGCTTGACCATATGGATAATATGATTGAAATCAACTATACACAAGAGCCAAAAAATGGTACGATTTTTCAATGTTGATGCTTCACATGATGGATCCTCATCAACTATACATTACCTTCAACCTGGGAGATCCCAATTCAGAAAATGAGGTAGCACAAAATGAGACAAACGTCAATATGATGTTAAATTTAGACAGAATATAAAACACAAACCTCATGTCGATAACCAACTGAAATACGGGGCAAGTTCCCAGGATACTTGGGACTCAACCACATTACAGCCTTTCTAACAGCAGCACTTGCTCGCTCGTCGGGAGAATTGCCATGAGTGAGCACACGGAATGGGATGGCATCCAAATCTTTCCAGTAATCAGTCATGATAGAGCACTCTTCGAGATCCACCAAATCCCCTTCGTCTTGGACAAACCCTTTAGCAATGTCATATGAGCAGGCAACAAGCTGGACCTTGTAGTTTTGAGCCATAGCATACAGCTCCACCACACCATGCAATTTCGCAAATGCTTCAAGAATGACTTCCTTGGTATCCTTGACGGCATCATGTGTCATCAATTCACCTTCATAATAATCAGTAGAGTACATGCCGTCATGGACGGAAAGAGCGTAATAACTAGTTCTATCATCTCTTATCTCTACATCAATACCAAGATAGACAGGCAAAGGGACATGGGCAGATGAAAAGCGACGAGATGTTCTTCTAGTAGGGACTCTGGTAGGGTTTGGTGGCATTTTCTTGATGGAATAATTGTGTGATAAAAAAAAAAAGGGAAGGTGTATAAGATTGACCGAAGCTTTTATATTTTTTGTTTTGTTTGATTCACGTGAAATCCTGGTTTCAGAAAACTGTAAAGCTACAAGTACCATGTCAATGTACATTGCATGAATTTAAGCGTTGATTGGCTGATGAAGCTTTCCTTAAATGGATGATACACAACTTGATCTTTTTTTCTAAAGAAAAAGAAGCCAAGGCATGTCTATTGAACATTCTCTTTTTTCTTATTTCTACTATAGCTCTCTTTTTCTCTATCATTTACTATCCCTTATTTTCTATGGGTAATACTCATTCAGCAGCTTCCCACAATGGCAGATTGTCAAGGACGTTTTCACGACAATCCAGAAAAGACGATGCCTTACCACACATGCACACTACAAACGATGCCCAGACATGTCACAAAAAGTACAAGGAATCATTGCCTCCCTCGCCTAACAGCAACAGCGATCCAAAAACTACGTCCAACTACAAGACGGCAGATGAAGCGACATCAAGCAGGGGATCAAAGTACATTTTACCTAATAACGAGGAAGAGCTGGATAGGCTCGTTCAAGTTGTAAGTTGTATTTGCATGCCTAGACAAGTGGATTTCTCTTAACATTCTTTATGGAATCTTTGTTTCGCAGCATTTTATTTACAAGTATCTGTTTGGTGCTAATTTTTTAGCTCCTGTAAAGGATTTATTATCGAGCAATCAATCGAGAAGAAGTTCGGGCAGTAGTCATCATCAATGGATGCAAGATTCGCCGTCATTGTTATCTTTATCTCCACCAAGAGTATTGGATATTGCTTGTGGCAATGGCACATGGATCCTAGAGATGGCAACAGAATTTCCAGACAGTCAATTCTACGGTATCGATATCCTAGCAAACTATCCGACTACAGTCAAGCCAGCAAATACCTTTTTCTCTCAACATGACATACTTCATCCAAAAGGTTTACCATACCCAGACGACTACTTTGATTACATCCATATGCGCCAAGTATACTCCTGTTTCTCAGAACAGGATTGGGTGGTAAGAATAGATGGCACTTAACCTACAACGTCATTTTCTCATACAAATCGTATAGACGGTAATGAAGGAAATTAAGCGTTTACTAAAACCCGGAGGCTACGTTGAACTGCGAGATATTGACCCAATGCTGAACAATATGGGGCCGATCTCCTCCAAATTTTTTGCTCGCTGTAAGCTTTTGCTACTCAATATGACATCATTTTCAAAGTCATCTCATCATTGTTTCTCATTTCTATAGTTCCTCTATTGATGAAAAAATGGCATGGCGTGAATATTCTGTGGGCAAGATACATGTATGACATTATAAATAATGTGGGCAATATGGTGGATGTGCACAAACAGGTCAATACATTGCCATTTGGATCTTCAGGACCTATAGGAAACATGATTCAAAACTCTCTGCGCTTGGCGCTCAAAAGCTTTCGTTCGTTTTTCGAGATACACAACAGTTTACCCGGCGCAGACTATGACAGAGTCATTGATGACATAGTGGAAGAAACCAGCAAGTATCGCTCGTATTTCAATTACTATTGCTGTTGGGGAAGAAGCCCCTTGTATGAGACAGCGTACCATTATCAGGAACAGAGAGGCGGTAGTATTAGTAGTAGCGGTGACGAACCACCAAGGCGCCATTCAGTTACCAACAACAACAATATGATATCGGACTCGGATGCCAATGACAACGATGCATCGTCGTCTCTGACGATACGTAGACAGAGTGAAAAGGAAACGCAGTCGGATTGTGCCGACGATGCGGCCATGCCCCCCTCGAATATCCTGTCAATTTACCCATTATCTGATCAACATCAACATCACATGGTCTCACTAGGAGAGGAAAATGTATCTGACATTGATCAATTTGCTGAAGGATACGAAGATTAATGCCTGTAAATATGTACATGACTAATAAATGTTCCACGTTATACGATCTGCTAATGCAGAAGCTAAATGTCATTAGAGTTGGGAGGTACGGTTTCAGGTTATTTGCGACAAGGTTATTTCTGTGCAAGGCCTTGCATGATTTTAGTCTTTTGTCTTACACATTGATGCCTGTAGAAAGTTCGTTCTCGGGGCTTTTTCTTTCCAACGTTTGGAACCCAACACCTTGACATATGTAAGAGTAGTTATGTTTTGTTGGTTTCATGCGCCTTCAAATGAGCACAACAAGTCAATTTAGAGTATTTAAAGTATGACTATCGCAATTGTTTGAAGCAGCGGTCAAGACTTGATCTCCTCTTGCTAAGGCAGTACTCTTAGCATTGCAACTCTGAGTAAAGGGACATCAGAGTTGTATGGAAGGCAATAATATCGCAGCATGCCAAATTCATTGCAAAAACCGCTTGCCAATATGTCACTTTTAGCGTTAAGCTTTGATACAGTGCTTTTATCGATTTGTATCCACAAAATGCTGAACAATTCTAGCTGCTATTTGAGTTTTCGAATGTCATAGCTCATCTTGCATCTAAAACTACGATCTAAATGCATTTGTATCCCCATATCATATCATAACATCGTCTTATCAAACGCAAATATGCAAATCACAGCTTAAATAGACGGTTTGTTATGGCAGATATCTCTACTTGTAGGCCGTTTTAGACAACCAGAATGGCACTAAACGATTTCTTTCCATCAGTAGCATCTTGCTGACACGTTATCTCGTTTTTTTTTTGGTGCAGCAAACACCTCGAATTTTCATGAGTTACCCCTCATGGAAAACATGAAAAATCTGATCCTTCAGCTCTCAAACAAAAACGTTCGTTTCATCATGCAGTCATTGGACACATTAGACGTTGGCCGCCACTTCAACAACAACATCTCCAAAAAGCAATGGACAGCCTTCTATAAAAACGACATGCACTACTCGGCTCGTAATCTGTGGTACCGGATGCTCCATCAGCAATCCCCTAATAAGCTCGCCCTCTTCCAAAGACACTTGCCCAATTTAGAGTCTGATCACTGCGATCTATGCAACGAAGTAGAAGATGCCAAACATCTTCTAATTAGCTGTGCTCACAAGATCGATGTATGGAACTCCACCTTCAATGAGTTCCTCAGCTATCCCAAAAATGCTGACCCTCGCCTCGTCTACAACAACATTATGCTCCTCAAACTAGACCGCTATCTCATATACAGCTACGATATGCAGTTCACTATATACGACTTCTTCGCCACTATTATGCGTATGATTTGGAGAAATCACTTCCAACAGCTCTACAATTATATACCTTTTGATCCCTCTGTAGTATGCCGCCAAATCCGCGCCGAATTGATAAGATTGTCAAATCTTAGGAAACTCTAAATAGCTTATATATGGCACGTCACTTTGTTTACATACACTTGTCCATCCCTTGATGCGTTTAATTTATTTCTAATAAATCAAATATCATCCAAAAAAAAAAAAAAAAAAAAAAAAGAAAACATGAAAAATCAAACGATCGCAATTTTGTTCCTAAAAACGGCACTTTTTACTATGGCGTTTATCATATCAAATTACTTGTACAAGTTCAATGCATCATCCAAAAGCGTTGGTATGAGTCTTTTGTATACAAGGATTTGACTTATTGATCAAAAATGTATTTTTATTTTTTGAAGAATTACCCAACAAATATTATATTAATAATAGTTTAATTTAGCACCACTAAATGCACTTTAAAAAAAAAACTAATAAAAAAATATTAGTAATGTAGAGTACTATCAGTAAAATCAATCTTATTTTATTTAATGAAAACTTTCGAGATGTAAAAATCAAGTCGAATTTGATCGTAAAACAGCCCAAAGCTGCGGCCACCGGAGAATAAAATCATTTTGACGACAACCTCACGGATTAGCATATGTCATATGTAAACTAAAGGAAAAAGGTAGCTAAGATTAGCAAATATGCCATTTAAAAAGACTAGAGCAAAGTTTAAACAACCAGGTATATTAACAGCTGAAAAGTGCTGTAATTTTTAACTAAAATTTGGCTGGCATTGAGCATTAAAAATTTAGGCCATTTAAAGCAATCATTGACATTTCGAATACACGATGATGCGTAATATGCACCAGTCACTAGTATGTTGCGTACTTGAATTCAGGTATAAAACGATGCAATTGAAGCACATGTTGCTTTTCTTTCTCCCTGTTCCCAATTAATTACAGAGCTGATCGAGCAAAAACTAAACACAGCATGGTAAGCTATCAAATTGCTTCTTTGTATCAATGACAGGACCGACTCACATCATTTGAAAAAAGTTACTTCGTATACGTTCAAAAGAAGGTATGAACAGAGTTCAAGTCGAGGGTGATGAAACCTTTGGCGATCTTGCACAAAAGATAGCTGAACACTTGAAGATCCAAGATATATCCACATTGGCAATGGGAAAAGATCCGAATCCATCTACTGCTGGTTCTATATCTCAGTTGGCCGATAAAACCATCCATGAAGCAGGCCTCAAGTAAGCATGAATATCATGATTATGTGCCGTTTCATATTATTTATAAGGCATGGCCCTTTTCATAGACATGGAGATATTGTATATATCCATTATGTCGAGCCTCAGGAATTTCAGCAACAGCAACAAACGATCAATGGTACTGTTTCCTCAGACGATGTCAAGCCCAACAATGTCAAGCAGGATGAAGTGGATGACTTTTTAGAGAAGCAAAGAGGATTGATTGATCGCAAAAAGGACCCTAAATTGTAAATAATCACATACGAGCTTGATCCGTATTACAGCGAGCTAACTTGTGCATTGTGTTTTTACAGCTGCCGTCATGGAGAAAATGCCATGTGTGATTACTGTATGCCATTAGAGGTAGGGTTGCGAGTCTTGACATGTGCGGAAGAATGTGGTATTGACTATGCATGTCATTAGCCTTATGATGCGAACTATCTGGAAGAAAACAAAATCAAGCACATGTCGTTTCATGCCTATTTACGTCAAATCAACGCAGCACAGCAATCCAAGAATGTTGCAGCATCCAGCAACAGTGTACCTCCATTGGAAGAACAAAACTTCAAAGTCAAAGTACCATGCTCTGGTGGTCATGCTCCATGGCCTGAGGGAATTTGTACCAAATGCCAACCCAGTGCCATCACACTCCAAAGACAAGTAAGTACACTTTTTTTCTTACTCGAGGGGTGACAACTGACGATTAAATATAGACCTATCGCATGGTAGATCATGTTGAATTCTCTTCAGCATCACTGATTGAATCCTTCTTGAACTACTGGCGTCAATCTGGATCTCAACGATTTGGCTATTTATATGGTCGTTATGAGCCGTACCTCGATGTACCATTAGGTATCAAAGCCGTGGTGGAAGCCATTTACGAACCACCTCAGCAGGATCACTCAGATGGCATTCAATTGACACTGCCATGGGAACAAGAGGCCAAGGTAAACCAAGCAGCTGAAGCTTGTGGATTAGTGCAAGTGGGTATGATCTTTTCAGATTTGGTGGATGATGGCACAGGCAATGGTAGTGTGGTCGTCAAGCGACATGTCAATTCCTACTTCTTATCGTCTCTGGAGTGTGTATTTGCAGCTGAAATGCAGCGTCGTCATCCCAACATGTGCAAGCATTCAGTGTCTGGTAAATACAGCTCCAAGTTTGTCACTTGTGTCATCTCGGGCGATAATGAAGGCAACATTGATGTCAAGGCATATCAAGTATCAGATACACTGACTGCGCTTCAGGAGGCAGAAATTATAGAGCCCAGTAGAAAGCCATCTGTTATGCGAGTCAAAGACAGTATCCCTCATGAACGCTATGTCCCTGAAGTCTTTTACAAGTTTAAGAATGAATACAACGTGCTTGTCAAGCAGTCTGCCAAGCCCACATTTCCAGTGGAGTACCTGCTGGTCAATGTAAGTTTTACAGTGGTGCTATGTGGCATCAACGACTTATATAAGTTTCGTCATGTAGGTCACGCATGGTTTCCCTCACAACCCATCACCCCTCTTCAACGCTGAATCCACATTCCCTGTAGAGAACAGAGAGGGTCTTAGCCATCAAGATATCTCGGCTCTCGCGAAATGCATCAAATCTGCACATACCCAAGACGAATTAAAGAAGGTTCTGGATGATTTCCATGTCTTGTGCTTTATTCAATCCACAGATACTCTTTCACCCGAAGAATTCAAGCAACTGTGCCGTATAGTCACCAGTCCCGACGGCAATCTTGATGAATTGAACCAACTGAATGGCTGGAGTACACTTCAAATGGTATTAAAGGAAGCAGGTAAGACGGTATTGAACAACATCATACGAAAGAGCCAAGAGTCTGATGCTATTTATAAAGGAACAGACAGCTCATTGTCAACTAACGGTGGTCGATCCTCCTCTTCCGCCGCAGCCCCAGTAGCAGCTCCCGTCAGTTGTAGACATTGCACATTTACCAACCCTCCAGGCATTGAGAGCTGTGAGATGTGCGGCTTACCATTAACTGGATAAATGCAACCATTGAATAAAACCTGTACACGTCTGCACTTTTATACACTCACCTTGACAAGATGCAATGTTGTGTATAACATATACCTGTGAACACGTCCCGCCAAGCCAGGTGTTCAAATGTAACCGTCCTAAGCGTATAATGAAATTTAATTAGCACAATTAATCAAGCAATGTGGCTTTGACAAGGTTCCATGAATAAATCGAAAGGTTAAATGTACTACTATTTTCAGGACACAACGTCGCTAGAATAAGGGGATTATTCATCTACAAGGAGTTTTAAAAGGGGAGGCAGCAAGCAAACCAAGACATTTTCCCAAATGATCTGCGCTCGATTGGATAAAGAAACGTTGTGAGTTCATGCTGATGTGCGTTTTTGCCAGATGCTACACAATGGGATAATGAATGCGTTTGTCCATGTGCTTGAATGCCAATTACAATAAACGTATGCCAAATCATATCTCTGTCGCACAAATGCTCTGTTGTTCCTCCAAGCGTAATTTTATTGTAAGATGCCTTTTGTGTTCCCAGGGCCATTTATATCTTTTTCCACTCTCTCTCTCTCTCTCTCTCTCTCTTCATTCTTATACTCCATTTCTTTCTTTCCTTTCCCAGATACATACAAGAAAACCATGAGCACCAGCAGTAATAGAAGAAGGTCCATGTCCGTGTCAGCAGCGCCGTACCTGTCGCAATCCGATACAACGACATCCACCTCGCCGTCACTGTGGAATAGTAGTAACAAATCAACCAAAACTAGCTTTTTGTCTCGCTTCAAATCACCTAATGCGATACCAACCCCCTCCAAATCCACCTCCACTCACTACATCACCACCAGTCTACCGCCCATTCACGGACAGCAGCAGCAGCAGATCAAACGAAAGCCAATTGCTTCTAATGCCTCGAGTTCAGGCACCATCTCGTCAACAGCAACGACATCTGTGCCTAGAAAAAAGTATGAGACACTCCTTGGTATTCGGACTGACGATTTGATATCAGAGGGTTTAAACTCAAAAAAGGTTAGCTGCCCTTGCACACACACACACATTCATAGTGCAAAACCCTTAATTTGTGTTCAACAATCAAATCTCTAATTATATATGATACACAATAGAAATCAAGCGGGAATCATAGCAAAGGATTTGGAAACATTTTCAAAAAGAAGCGAAGCAAATCACTCGATAAAAAAGTGAATGGAGACCATGTCGGTGCTTTGTTCTACCAGATTCACAATAGTAACAAGGATTCAGCAGCAGCAGCAGTGACAGTAGATACAAAGGACCAGGATTATGTGCTCCCCCCAGTGGAGCCCTTTGCACGATCGAGCAACAATCAAATCATATACGCATCCCCTACCAAAGCCCCTATCGTCAATCTGAGCATGGGTGATAAGCCAGTTCTCCTCGCCAATAACCATGTGTACAAACCTCAGTACCACCAATACGAGGTCGGCCAGCAGCCATCAGCCTATAGTAGATCCAAGACAGCAGCAGTGCGTCAAGATGACGACTCTGCTCCTCCCCCTCCTCCCTTGCCTCCCACCAACGAGACACCACGATGGTCCACTGGATCTACCGCACGCAAATCAACGGGTTCCTACTCCGTCTACAGCACATTTGGTGCAGAGTCCATTTACGAGGAGGAGAACAAGTCTTCAGACAAGGTAAACACAACTGCAAGCGCTCCATCAGACAGCAGACGACTGGCAGCCACCGCGTCTGATGTGATTCCTGCTGTAGAGCCTGCTTCCACCACAGATCTAGTCTCCATCGTCGCCAACAATATGCAAACCAGACACCCAGCACGCCTAGTGACAGAAGATTCATCTATCCATGAGGTCAGTGAAGATGAGGATGAAAGCAGCAGCTCTTTTGAAGACGACGATGATGATCAATCTACCAACAGACAAAGCGACGTCTTTTTGGATGCCACCGACATGTCACTTGAAGATATTGAGAGGGAAAAGATAGAAGCAAGATTATCCAAACGATTGAGCGGAGGCCATTTTGGAAGTGCTGGAGGACTGATGATCAGTATTCTGGCATCCACATCCACCGAAACCAAGGCACAGAAAAGAACAAGTCGTCCACCACCTGAAGATGTTGTTCAGTCCATGATCAATTGGAAGCGTCACAGCGGACACGGCAGTGCCAAGTACAGTGTGCCAGATCAACAAGCATCACAGCACATCCACGCCAATGAGGAACAATCCAATTCATCAACCACCACCACCACCACTGACAGGCAGGATCTTGCTCCCCCAGCTGTACCAGAAAAAGATGTGCCAGTGACTAAAAGTCAATCTCTGTCGCCTCAAAGACCCTTGCCACCCAATCCAAATATACTGCTCACTACTACAAAAGAAGCGGATAACGAGGAAGACGAAGACGAACCGATTGAGATCACTGATACTGTAGAAGAGCCTGATAATCCAAAGCAATGTGCGTCCCGCTTATGGGAAGAAGATGAATCGTTTGTACAACGGGAGAGAATTGCGGAATGGCTTGGCCAAAGGTACTTTATATACTGCCCATGTGAATTTAAATGCTTAAACGGATACTATAGCAAGGAATTAAATGCAAACGCGCTGAACGAATACATGAACTACTTTGAATTTGCCACCATGAGACTCGACAGCGCATTCAGGTATGTATAATGCGTATTTTGTCATTTGACCCATGACTCAAGCAGCTTGTGTATGTGAATCATTTAGAAAGGTGTGCTCCAAGTTATACTTTCGCGCTGAAGCACAACAAATCGATCGTATTCTCGAAGCATTCGCGAAACGGTATTGGCAGTGTAACCCCAAAACCATATTCGGGAGTGCAGGTTTGTACAAACTATCCTGTATAATCCAAATAGAGAGAGCACAGTCAGACTCACAAGCAAACATCTATCTAGATATCGTCTATACTGTAGTGTATTCGCTGCTCTTGCTCAACACGGACTTACATGTGGCACAAGGTAATTACACGCGCATGACAAGACAGGCCTTTGTCAAGAACACCATGTCCACCATCAGAGACCAGCAGCAAACAGACCCTAAATGGGCAGCGAAGAAGCCTAATTTTATGCTGGCCTGGGAAGCACACATTGAGGCCTATCTTAAAGACATGTACATCTCTGTCAAGAACTATCAGATATTGCAGCCTATGCAACAGAACGGCTTGGACGACAACACCAATAGTGGTGATGACAACGCATTCTTGTCCGTACTGACATCGGCCAGCAACAATAAACGCATGAGTATTATCGGCGGAAAGCGTATGATTGATATCAAACGTAGTTTAAACACAATGATACACAAGAATGGTTCAACTCGTGAAAGTATGCTATTCTTAGACGAACCCTCCGTAAGTTGAACACAGCGAGAGACGCGCTTGCATGAACAAGTCTCATATCTCCTTTTGATAGCCAAGAAAAAGCTCCAGCTCCAATACGCGCCAGCAATACCCTGCATCGCCTCATAGCAGTAAATCCATACACAGCAACCGTAGAGACTCGTTCTGCTCCAGCCATTCCAATGCAGGCACACTGTCTCCCAAATCGACTATTGCCAGCAGTAATGGATCACAGCTCTCACCTCATCCAATTCATATGATGAATTTTATGGATAAACACTCTGCTGATCTGTTTGCGAATCGACCACCCTACCTCAAAGAAGGCGTTGTCATGCGAAAACATCTACTGGAAAGTGCCAACCAAAAGGCCAAGCATCGCGAATGGCGAGAGTGTCTCTTGGTCGTGGGTCAAGGAGAATTGAAAATGTACGGTTTACAATCAGAGAACGCCAATGACAGCAATTCGATAGCATCATCTGGTAAGCGCCATGTTCTGAGAGCCAGCAGCGCCAGCTTTGCCAATTTAGCAGACACATTATCAAAGAACTATCAGAATGTCACCAACATTGGAAGCACTAGCAACCCAAATGTAACGCTTTCTTACAGCGGTGTCTCACAGGACAGCGCTCAACGCTGGGAGGTAAGTGAGCCATTTAATTTCTACATTGATGTACAGTAGCTCACACACTGCTGAATAGGCATATTCTCAATTGATGGGCTCCATTGAACTGAATCATTCCTTATCCAATGCACTGCCTCCTCCCGGCTACAACAAATCAAGACCGCATGTATTTGCTATTCAGGAACCAAATGGCGGTGTGTACCTGTTTCAGGCAGCATCCAATGAGCAAGTGGTTGAGTGGGTGTCAACATGTAATTACTGGGCAGCACGTCAAAGCAAAGAGCCATTGCAAGGTGGAGTTGGTAATCTGGAATATGGTTGGGGCAGCTGCTTGAATGATGTGATACTGGACTTGGATGCTGTGGAGAGTGGCGATAAAATCGCAGGCAAATATTTCCATGACCCTGATACTGTCAGTATATCACATTGGATACCACCTGCACCAACAATGGTATCGAGTATATTGGATGAAAAGGCTCAATTTGAGAGTCTGCAGACGTATGTCAATCAATTGAACGAAGAGATCAATGAGCATCGAGAAATTAAACGGAAAATTATGGTCAAGGTACGTTCGTATGCAATGGCATTTCCATTAGCGAGTATTAACTGGTACAGCAGTTCCAGCAGAAAGGACAGAACCATACGCGAGCATTTGCCAATTGGGAATCAAAGTCGAAATACATGCTCCATGAGATTATCAAGTATCAAAATTACTGCGATTCTTTGGAGAAGAGCATACAGAGCAGGGAAGCAGAACAAGAAGAAGAGGAGGAGAATTAGCAGCAAGTAGATTTACATATTTTACATATACTATACCTATTACCACCTTAATACTTAATATATTTAATATCGGATTCGATATAGACCACCTAGTAATTTGAGCTGCCGAGTTATGAATTACCTGAATTTGAGCTAACTCCATGATATAGTTTTTACTACATGCAAATTATTGATTGCGCCTCAAATGTTCAGCGTACCTTACAGCCGCCATCGCCTTACTAATAAGCTGTATCGTTATGCTATGATACTGCGATACAACAATAACACGTACCCTAATATTTCCAGCTGAATGTTTGGACGTAACAGTGTGCTCTAAATCTGGATTAATGCATACAATGCCTCAAGTCTTTGTAGCATAGCAAGAACGCGCCTTTTGACAAACAAGCGTATGAAACATAGCCAAATTTGACAATTTGCAAGCCTTCATATCTTGACATATAGGCCTTTCTAAGCTGCCGGAATGACACCAAACAATGGTGCTCGTGTGCTAGTAACTTTCAGACACTTTTGCTCCACTTTTGGGGACCAAAAAAAAAAAAAAAAAAAAAAAAAAACATGGCCCAAAATCGACCAAAAAGCATGAGGCACCCCTCATGGTTTTCATTGAAAATCAAACGATCGCGTTTTTCACCTTGAAAAAGAAGACTTTTCCTATGGTATATATTGAATCAAAATATTTCTCTCAATTCAAAGCAACTTCTAAAACCACTTTTGTGAGGCTTTCATATGCAAAATCTGGACATTATCGCTAAAAACCACATTTCATATTCTCTCAAATTGCTCAATAACTTCAGTCAAAACATCTATTTTACTTGGCACCATTGGAAGCGCCTTGAAAAGTACTTTAAGATTGTATTAGGAAGCATAGGGTGATTATCACAATTCATATAGTCGAGTTTCACAAAATAGATTAAAGAAGTCGAAAAAAAACAAGATTTGTCCAATCTTGAGCAGAAAAGATTCTTCGGAGTTGGAACTAATTGGGGCGACGGGCGGCGCTGCTGTTAGCTGACCGAAATGCCCTTCTAATGATGATAATAATAATGACAATGTTGATTGGGGTGCTGATCAATTGGGAATCATAAAGCCAAAAGGACCATTGCTTAGTCTGAATACTTACTTTTGTTTTTTTTTGAAAGTTTAATAACTGGCAACGCCAGTCAGCCCGGCCCTCCATCAAAATGCATGTGAATGCAACTTCCTAATCATGATTTGCAGCATTTCAACATGGTATGAGGCAGTATGCATTTCATTAATTCGTTTAAAAAAGGCTATTATCAAAGGCTAACAAGCAATTTTGGAAAGTGATGAGGAATATCCTTAAAATTTGTACAAAAAATTTATTGGGAATGATGGTTGCTATCTCGTAGACAGTTGCGCCTAATATTGGCGAACAACATCTCCATATCGTAACATATTAAATTTATAGTCTCTAGACACTTTTACAACCCTAATACAAAAACTGAGTTGCCAGGCATTTGTCAGGCATGGTTTATATATATGATTAGAGATTTTTTATCAATCAACAATCAAGTTTCTTCTAATATTTTAGCCATTATTTATTTTACAATATTAGCCAAAGGCCTGCAGCAGCGCGAGCCATCTGAACGTAGTTTGGCTTCTACCGAAGTGAAACGTAGGCTAGGAAACCAACCAAAGAGTCGAAATGCTCTTCGTAACGTAATATATTTATTGTCACTAGACACTTTCAAAGCCTCAAAAAGGAAAGAAGTTGATCTAACAAGTATTTTAATAGACTGGCGCTATTGAATATAGAATGCAATAAAAAAAGCATGGCCAGCGATAGTGCTATGTAATTTGTCACCTACTTTCCACACGCTTCAAAAGCATCTATTATTGTATTGCCTTCATGATGAAAAGGGCATTGAGTTTGCCAGCCAGCCTCACCAGCCGCCAAAATCAATTTCAACTCAGACTTTCAGTCTACTCCAGATTGGCCAAATTCTAATAGTTTTCGACTTGATTCGACTGTTTTGTCACATGCGACTACATAAATATGTTGATCAACCTATACTCCCTAATGCATCTTTGGAGTACTTTTCAAGGCGCATCCAATGGTGCCAAGTAAGACAAGTTTTTTGAATAAACTTATCGAGCAATTTATGGAAATATGAAAAGAGGTTTCTGGCCAAAAAGTCGAAATTTTGCATTTCAAGGTCACCCAAAAATGATTGTAGGGATTACGTTAGATCGATAGAAACATGTTGAATTAACATATACCATACTAAAAGTTTTCATTATCAAGGTGAAAAACGCGATCGTTTGATTTTCGATGAAAACCATGAGGGATACCTCACGCTTTTGGGTCGATTTTCGGTCATGTTTTTTTTGGTCCCCAAAAAGTTGAGCAAAGGTGTCAAAAAGCAAGTGCTAAATGAGAGCCATTGTTTGGTGCTATTCTGACGATCTAAAACGGCTTCTAACGCGAGAAAACGCAGCTCAAATGCACTCAATTTTTGCTGTACCAGGAACACTAAGAACTAAAAAAAAAAAAGGGTAATGCCAGAATGCTGCTTGCCCCTATATGAAGTCATTACGTGTATATGGATATAGAGCATCACATAAGAATCAGATCCACATATAACATGAAGGATTTCATGTGTAAGTTGGGGGTTAAAATGAAAGTAGCAGTATTTTTGATACGCTACGCAAGGGCAATCGGTAGTGCAAGCTGCCGCTGCGCAGGTTGGTTCTCACCAAAGCGAAGTGAAGGTAGAGAGCCATCCAAAACATAAACACTCGTATACATATAAGCAATGTAAGGCAATGACAAGCTAGGTCTCAAGCATGTGCATCGTCATGGAAAGAGACAAGTGTAAGTGTTTAGCATTCTGTCTCGTACGAATCAATATACCTAATATTGCGCTCAAGTGCCATAAGTATGGAGTTAGTAGGTGGTCCATAAGAAGTTTTAAGGTGGCCCGTATAAAGCCTGATATACGATTACCCCACAGTATTTATTTGAAATACCTTCATTGGACATTTGAGTTTGCAACATTTGCACTCTATTACGATTATTGCTGAAATGGAAGATTGTCATAAATGAATGGCAGTACTGGCATGGATATCCAATCGCGTATAGTAATACCATCAGGATGGTTGCAGCCTTGACAATCCAAAAGTTTGAAGGTGACTCGTTAAGCAAGTTTTTATCAATTTTGATTCTCGGTTTCTTTTTACAGTTGCATCTCTTTCCTTTCTTTTTCCTATTCTTACAACAACAGCCTACAAAATGAACGGACAAGAGTCAGCCAGTACATTGAATGGATCAGCAGACAATACGAAAGCCTTTATCGAAGACAAATTGAAATCAAGTCTTGTGTAAGTAGCAGCCTAGATCATTGTTACAAGTCAGGAGTGGAGTTGTACTGATTCCGCTTCAACCTTGACAGGCACGTTTATGATGCCACGCGTATCTCCAACGAAATCAAGGATCTTGAAAACAAGCACCAGACACTGCAAGGTTTCAAGCTACAATTGAGCAAGGACAGCAATTCGAATCCTGCGCCTGCTTTAACCAACATGAGTATGTATCACCATCATGAACGACTTTTTTTTTTTTTTTTTCCAACATTGACTGATTGCTTTGTATTGTAGGCAAGAAGATTGATGATATGCAACGAGACATAAACCAAAAGAAAGAAGAGTATGTTGATCATGATGATAAGGACACTAATGCCATGATTATCTCACACACTCTCAATTCACAGAATGAAAAGCGCGGAAGCTCAAGTGGTGATGGGATTTCAGGATATCATGCAATGCCTTATGGGCCACTGCCAGGACAGTCTGAAGACCACACAAGAGTTTATGAGAACCGCATTGGGAAAATTTGGCACGTCTCTTACAGGTGGATTTGAGACCTCGATTACAGACATCAGAAGACATTTGATTGAGGTGGACAATAACAAAATGGATGCAAGTGAGAAAGCAGGCATTCTCGCTACGATTGATGCCTTCAAAAAACACATTGTCGAGCTACAAAAGAACCAAATCGCCGCCATCAAGACCGTGACAGAGCAGCAGTATACACAAATATCAGGACATATAGATCAGAGATTAAAGAACGTGAATGCAGAGGCATTAACAGCTCAAGTTCAGAAGCGAGTGGTGGATAATCTCGATGGCAAATTCAGACAACATTTGCAAGAACTCGATAAAGCGCAAAAAGCACTCCCTTCTTTACAAGAGAACAACGGGCAAGTGTCTGAGAAAATTGTGCAAACTGTCAGAGACGAGGTGAAGAACTATCTGACACCTGAAACGCTCAAATCCATCATATCCGCTTTACCAGAATATAAAGCACTTCAAAGTCTGCAACCTGAAGCAGCACCTTTACCAGACGCTATCAAGAAAATCATGGTAGATTTACAACAGGAAGTCGGCGACCTCAAGGCCAAAAGCTTCTCCACACGAGCCTTAGTGAACAGTTTGGTAGATCGAAACTTGACATCCACAGAAGCCATGCAAGCTCGTCAAACAGCCGCCATCATGCACATTGAAGAGATGGAAAAGAATATAAAGCTGATGCACAACAACATATCGATGATGGAGACAGTAATAAGCGTGCAACTGGACAAGATGGTGAAACACAATGCCGAAGCATCCACACCCAGAAAGAGACCTCGAGTTGATGATGACTTGGACATGGTAGATCAGCAGGACGAGAACAGCAATAGAGAAGTGTTGAGAAGAATAGCTGAAGTGGAGTCAGCCCATCAGAAACTGCTCGACTTTATCTTGCAATGGAAGGATACTGTGTTGGATGATAGTTTCCCTGAAAAGCTGAGTAATGCCTTCAAGAAGATTGAAGAGGTCTTGCTGTAAGTTTTGTGTGTTTGTGAAATATGATCTTGATGGCTCACTCCATTTAAACACATAGTAACCACCAAACATTCATCGCCTTCCTGACTGACCCATTCACCACCAGCAAAACTCCCACAGCAAACGAAACTGCATCGATTCCTCAATCAATATCACCTCAGTCCACCCTTCACCCTGCAATGCTTGACGCCATCTCCCTTCTTGTCAAACAGACTGCCGAAGAATACGCATTACCTTTAAGAGAAAAAATCAAGGCTTTGGAGGATAAACTGAATGCAAGACAGCAATAAACCATTAGCTTCAGATTACCCCCCCCCCTCACTATAAATTTCATATAGTACAAATAGGCATTAAATAAAGAACCAGTTGTATATCCTCATAGAGTCATTGCCGTGCAGGAGGCACCGCTGCTGAGCCATTTGTATCAGCATGTGAGATTGCCATTAACCAAGGATGAAGCATAGTGTGTAGCCTTCCTATGGTATTGTAAGCATCTCCACAAGGCTAGCAGTGCTCATATTGGAAGATTGAGATGGATGTCAAACTTCACATGGCTGCACATTGTCATCCACCATGGTGATCCATTTGAGCACTGCGATCTCCAACACAAAGGATGCATGCTATGGCTTGATCTTTGAGCCATCACTTCTCTTTCAGTCATCCTCTACATACAAACACAATCTCTTATTCCCTCCATCATGCTGAGGTTACCTAACGACATTTCGTGACGTCAACCCAATCATATTCCCTGTGTTATGTACAGGGCTTGAAGGTCCAATTCAAGTGGAATTGAAATCAGTTCATATTTTTCAACTTTTTGGCAGTCGAAGTTTTTTTCCCCAGCTTATTTATCTCCCCTCTCTTCTATTTTATACATTTAAACAACAATGTTTGCTCTTCGTCGTGCTGCTATCAAGGCTGCTCCTCTTGCTGCCCGTTCCACCGTTAGACCCTTCTCTGTTTTGGGTGCTCGTTTCTGTAAATATCGCAACAAAACACATGTGGATCGATTGCATGTCTTTCTCTCGCCTAGGAGAAATATCTGTATAGAAAGAGAGAATGTCGCGCGATGACCACATGGGCTTGAATTGAATGCCTTACTAATATATGTTATCAATAGCTGGTGCCGTTGGTCACAGTGCCGAGACCAATATGGGTCCTGGTGGTAAGGCCGGTGAGGTCCCCACTGATCTTGAGCAAGCTACTGGTTTAGAGCGTCAAGAATTGCTCGCCAAGCTCGAGGGTAAGGAACTCTTTGATATGGAACCCTTGAACATGACACACATTGGTACACCCAAGAACCCCATTGTCGTTCAATCTCATGATCCTATCCGTTTCGTTGGTTGTACTGGTAAAGTAGTTGATATGCATAAGAAGAAAAAAGAGATATTAAGCTGCTTTTTTTTTTTTTTTTATGGATGTATAGGTTTCCCCGTTGAATCTCATGATGTTATTTGGATCAACTTGGACAAGTCTCACGAACACGACCGTTGTCCCGAGTGTGGTTCCGTTTTCAAGATGGATTTCGTTGGTTCTGAAGAGGATCATCACCATTAAGTCGAGAGAAAGTGTGTACACCCTGTTAGATCAAGAAGAAGAAAGTAATAATAAAAAATATTTATTTTGTCCATGTACACATCTTTCTGATATCAAGCAAAATTACTCTTCTTTTTTTCGTATAAATCAACACTATTTACGCAGCTCCATTTCCTCCATTTAAATAAATAATCACTGTTTATATACAAAAAGGAATTCCTCTCTGTCAATGTGTCAAATGAGCAAACGTCTGTGGTCAAGCCCATGGTGGCTGGATCAAGAAATTTGACATGTTGAACAGCTTCATGTCGGATGGATGTGAGAACGACATTCTTGTTCGCATGAATGTCTCTAGAACAGCAGCATTGATAGATTTAAGGCGGCCAGAATATATATGCTTGCCATGCGTTGTTTAATCCCATTTCTTCTTATTCTTCTCTCTACCTCTCAGCTATTTACCATCATGACTCAACAATCTAATAAACCAAAGCAAGCTCAAGCCATCGCCTTTCAGTATCCTTGCTACATCTGCAAAGAGATATTCAGCACTGCTGTTGATGTCAAATCTCATGTCATCTGTGTCCATTACTACTCCCTTCCTGAATTAGCATCTGATGCAGGTCAAACCAGACCAGCAGAAGACAATCTCGAGTTCAAGGAGTTTCCTCAGTCAAAGGAGGATGCCAAAGACCTTGTATTCCATTCTGCTTGTCCATCTTGCTGGTACCACTGTCCTACCCAAGATGTTATCGAATTGGAAATTCATGTTATAGATGTTCATAATCCCATCAGCATCAATACGGCTCAAGAGCAAGGCGAATCCTCTATTGCAGCTCCTCCTCAAGACAAGGAGCAAGACAGGAAGCAAGAAACTGCACCTACCATGGAGGACCTCTTTGAAAAGTTGGATGATTTGAGCGAATGCATTCGAGCTTATCTTGCCCGTAGATAAGAAGAGTGTTGAATGACATCTTTGCAATGAACCTCATGTAGATCCCTGCATCATATCAATGGAACAATGTCTAACTTTGGAGCAGGTTTTTGTGGGTACATGGCTCATGTAAAAATTTATCCTCATCTTACAAACACACATTCTTTATAATACGTATTAAAACAAGCTCTTCAAAATAATCATTCTATCGCATGTATAGTAAAAAAAAAAAAAAGGTATAACTGCTGTAAACGAGTGCTCTCAAATCTGTCTATAAGATCTTGTAGCTTCTCATGATGCATATTGTGAGTATACAAAATGTAAATATAGATGCCATGATACAGAAAAACCAGGTTAAATCGTCCTATTCCATAAATTAGCGTCCAATACAATGAACCCTATAAGCAAAGTATACCTCGTCATCCTATCACATCATTCAGTATGTAGGATAGCGAGCATTCACTCGTACAATGCACATACCTGAAATTGGCCAGGCACCTTGACATTCATGCCCCACATACCGGTTACCAGATTCATCGGCACAAGAACACTGCCTAGCGCTGTGAGTTTTGATAAGACATCGTTGATTTCATTGTTGGTTTGTGTCATTTCAATGGATATTTGAGCCAAATAATTGGAATGGGACCTGGAAGATATCTTTTCATAGTGATTCAATGACTGAAGCATAGCGACAACGTGGTCTTTTGATCATCGTCAGCAACGTCATGTACTTGTGTGAGTGTCCTTATTGCAAGTTTACCTTGTATATCGCCCAAGTAAATAACCACATCATGGCTGACAGTGGGTCTTTTGTTGTTTCTATGGCTGCTCTTGTGGGGCGACGATGCATGCTCACCACCCCTTTTGATCAAGGTCTTTATCACGTCTGATTTAGCCACCAGCAGTCGCAATAGGCTCATCATCTTTTTGCGACAGTACCCTATCCGTCTCAGCATATCCGATTGCTCGGATTCCTTTAAAATCAGCACCAATTCATCGATGGAGTCTACTTCAAATTCGATTGCTCTGATCAATGGCACAAATGTATCAATGATATCGTCCAATATTCCGTAGCAGATCCAGTCTAGAACACACATCAACCCATTGTATACTCTTTTTTTTTTGTGTATATCTACCTGGTGTAACGGTCAAGCACTCTTTCAAATGCATCATGCGTTTTCTTACGTTAGCGGAATGAGGTGTCGAAGCTCCAAAATGAAACTAAATGGATCAAAGACATGAGCCATGAGTATACATGCCTAGGTATATGCTTACTGTGAGTATAAATCCTTGAAATATCAAAATGTAGATGCCAATGGGCTGCAAGTAATTAGGTGATGTGGCATCTGATTCAAATGTACGAAAACAGATAAAATAGTAATTGTTCAAAGCTTCGCATTTCTCTCGAGGCTCTTCGGTGGTAATATCCTCTGCAGTGAGTGGATGGATATGAAAGATGCGCTGTAGTTGCTTCATCTCTACGTCGGTGGGGTTGTGTATATCGATCCAGAAGCAAGCATTGTTGCTGTGATCTTTGATGGCTGGCAAGATATCAGCAAAATTGTTTGTATGTATGGTGGATGTCAAGGCCGATGAGTAAAAGACATATCTAAATTCAGGCCTGCTGGAGGGAGGTGCGATGAACCCTTCTCCGTTCTAGCAATGCCACATGTATGTGTGTGTGTGTGTGTTAATACATGCACATGTACTTTTATGTAGGGTCTCTCACTCACAATAGCTCCATATGTGGTAGTCTGACTAATGCGTGGTTGCATTTTTTTCTGCTTTCGCTTCTTTGTTGTTGTTGTTGTCGTGGTGGTGGTGGTGGTGTCGAGACCCGGTCGCTTTGTGTGTAAACATGAATTTAGAATCAATTCCTCCACAGCTTCCATGTCAATGAGCTCGTCTGAAGTGTGTGCGCCTTTATCATCAGCAGCAGGATAGCTGGGCTGCTCGGATGGAAACCACACATCGTTCTCCAAGGTGTCTATGTCCAGAGGTTAGTTGCATTGATTTGGCTATAGAGTGTACCATACTACTGTTGCTACCGCTGTTACTGCTACTGCTGCTGCCATAGTTACTGCTGGTAACGAGATCATTATCCACTATAGCAACCAACTTTTTGCTCATGTCAGTAGTGCTTCCCCCCCCCCCCCCCTGAATTACTAGTATGTCTTACAAAATCCTCTTCTTCATCTGCTTCCTTGATATAGTCGTTCTTGGACAGCTGTGTGTACAGTGTATTTGACATGGCGGTATATAAGCAGGTACAGGAACTGAAGAAAAGAGGAGAAAGAAGGGCGAGAAAAGAGAAATGCAGAATATATACGGCACAAACAGCCAAATATATTTGGGTCTGATGAAAGATGCAAACTTGTATGACTTGATCACATGGAGACAAAAAAGGGTATAATATTTTATTCAATTAAGCGCTACTCAAGTTACGCATGCTCTGTGCCACTTTATCGATCTGGGCATCGTTTGAATTGGGAGATAACGGGTCTTTGCTCTCCATGCGGCTCTTGATCATGCTGAGCGCTTCTTGCAATGTTTTGCCCGTGTCTAATAAAGCTTTTGGTGAGACAAAGTCCATCGTACATCTGCAAACGTCACTTACTATCAATCGAACTGAGAAAGCGAACAAGCTCCTTGCACAGCTCATAATCGCTCTCGTCCATGGCCTTTTGAAGTAACCGGATCGTATCCTTGCCACCCACGACCAGTGGTTGCATTGTTTGCAGGATGATCAGATAGGATGTTGCTGTACGCAATCTGCCATCCGCTAAACAAATTTCAAACAGATCTTTGGGTTTGCCAACCACAGAAAACAAGTGATCCCATAAGGCCACTTCTGTCTTGCGAGCGCAACTGACAATCACATCCAACGCATGAGGAAACTGATCCAGGAATTTGATGACATGCGGTAGAATAGCAGCTATCATTTCGAATCAAATTAGCTCATCCATGCAAGCATAGCAAAGTTGCGTATTCTTACCATCGCCCAAATCATGACCCGCCTCTTCTTCCAGCACTGTATGAAGCAGAATCTCCAGCGCATGACCAAAATAAACAAATTTCTCGTATGCACGAGCAAATACAACGGCTTCTTGCTCCAAATCCCGTTGCAACAGGTAGCGTAAAACATGATGCAAAAACAAATGCATCTATATCGTGATGAGTCTCTCTCTCTCTCTCTCTCTCTCTCTCTCTCTCTGTTAGATGCTGACGCATTTGCCGTTTGCTTACCTTGGGGCTCATTTTAAAGAGGACAAAGCCAAGCGAATCTCGGTAACTGATGTTTTGCTCAATGCCAACAATGATGCCCTTGTCCAGCAAAATGGCTGCATGTACAATGAGTATACTGCAGGCAAAGCTCCTATAAATTCACTTACATAGCGGGTAGAAATCAAGCGGGATGTAAATGGCTTGATCACTCAATTTCTCAAAACTAGCAATGCGCCATTGGCTTTGATTCTCCATGTCGTCTGTTAGAGATCCTTCAGTCGAAGAAGATCTACTGTGAGGTTCTGGCCCAATACGATAGCCAAGCGAGAAGGGTCTACCGATATCCACGTTGCGAGCAGATGAGGAGGATGACAGCAACCCCGGCGTCGTCGGCGTAGAGGGCTCACTCTCTGACACATTGGCGTTGTAGGTGCTAAAATCAAAATCAGGCTCCAATAACAGATTGGTAAATGTTTTGAGTCCTTTGCCATCAGCAATCCAGAGCGATGTAACCAAGTTATCAATGCTCTTTTTGCCAATCCAGTAATACTCTGCTTTGTGGTGTATGTTGTGAATATCAAATGCTGGTGGCGGTGATGTGGGTGATCCATCAGCTAAATCAGAACTATCATTGTCATCCTAGAAGCACATATATAAACAAACATATCAGCAATCAACAAACACAATGCAAGCGCAAACACATAAACAAACATACAGCTGCTTTGGGGCTCAAAATGATCAGTTTTCCATCTACAAGCAATAGTATGTTGGAAGAAATCACGTTCTCCAGTGAATCTATCTGATCTCCACAAATGGGATGAAACAGACTGATGCTGCGAACACGAGCCACGCGGGCTACAATGCCCTTGAGTGATACTCGTCGCACGAGCTCAAGCCGAGCTAGCCCGCCCTGTTTGCCAGTGTTGCCATTAGGGAGTGCGCCTACACTGATCTTGTACAAATTGAGCACGTTTTCAGATGTGTAGACGACCAAAAAGTTGCCGCAGAGTGTCATGTAGGCTGGTATGTTAGAGAGTGCTTCTGTGTGCAGAAGATAAGTATTGTCCAGGTTACTGTCGCGAGAATACATGCGAATCTATCAGCGTGCAATGCGTTAATGGCCCTTTCTCTCTCTCTATATTCATGCTTTTAATACCTCGTATATCTTGTACTGGAGTGATTCGCAGGCAACAATGATGATGTTCTTATACCACACCATACCACCTCGAACTAAAAAGCTCTGCTCTTGGTGCTGATTACCAAACAGCTTCCATCGATTGGAGATGGCGTTGTAGTGTGCAAATCCACGTTTACCAGCAATGGCAATGTACTTTCCGTCCGAACTGATGGATGCATAACGTATAGGCCAGTGATCGGTGATGTACAGCGCAGGGTATTGAATGTGCGTCCACGCCACTGCTGCAGGGTCAATGGTCGTGTTGTTCTCTTGGTAATCACCTCCATTATTGTAGAGTAAGATGCGGTCATCTGCTAGTAGTAATCCGCGTTTAGCGTTATCCGAGTGCAGATAAGATGTCAGCGCAGATTTGGCAAAGGGAATAGTAAACAGTTTTGATGCGTCTTTGTCCCTGGATAGCACATAGAGCTGGTGACTGCCTGGGCCCCAAAACTACACTTGTGTTAAGATATCATTGCACTTGTCTATGCCATGCACTTACCAATGACTGAATGCCCTTGACGTAGGTATCCTTGAGTCTAAACGCACTACATGATCCTGTCAGTGAATGCACTGGCATCACCCGCTATCATAACCTACTTATCACCACCATACACATCATCCATCTCGCTCGACGCACATAACAATCCACCATACACACTCCACACAGCCAGCCCATGTGTCTTGTACCCCACAGAGATAGCATATCCATCCGATGTCCACGCCAGCGACTCGACAGCATTCGCCTCTGGGTGAGCGCTCGAATTCTGTGATGCCCACGACGATAATTCCAACTTGTGTGACAACACAGGTGTAGTGGTATAGCTGTTGGCCGAATAGACATACACGGCACCTCGATTGGTGCCAATAGCAATGAGTGAGAATTTCGCATTGATGGAAACAGATGTTGCTTTGTGTAAATCATGCAATTTCTGCTTTCCTTTGGTCGCTGTGCTGTGCTCGCTGTTGTGGAAGCAGACGCCTGTCCAGTGAATCTTCCCTTCAAACGAGGGTGTGCTGGGAGAAGTAATCGTGGTTGATCCGTTACTACTTCTTCTTTCTTGAGACAAAGTGTTGTTGTTTTGTACAAAATAAGCTCTACCTTCATTTGATAGCCAGACGGATATGTTCATTATTTTATCGTACAGCAGGCTAACAACTTGTTCTGCGTGTGTATTTTCGGGTTAACAACATTGCATGCCTCAATGCCATAGCCATGGCCAACACTAATAAATTAGTACCTGATTTCTCGTTTTCCATGATGCCGAGTCGGTTGAGAACTGAAGTCTGTGTGGCATTGACTTGCTGTGGATTCCAGGATATCGACTGGATTGCTGCAGGTGATTTGGTGGCAATGATTAGCGTGTCGTCGGATGATGTGCCACTGAATAAGAGGTTAATATCGCTGCCAGTCGAGACCCACCTGTCTATAAACTCACCAGGCAATGCCAGCGTCTACTCTAATGGCCAGCTTAAACTTGATCAACATGGTCTTGGGTCCCTTTCCCTCTCCTGGTCCTGTCACATAGGCATGTGTCGAGTTTGGAAAGTTAAATTCGAACGATCGCTGATCGTATGAAATGATGGCATACAGTAACATATAGTTGTTCTTGGTCTAATCAGCTTGATTAGTACCCATACCAACTGTAAACCTTCCATCCTTACATGAACGACAATCGCAGTGGCATCTGGCTTCCAAATAGCCTCAATGTTTTCACCAAATTCCTCTACATGATTATCTGAACGTTCCACAAAGGCGAGGACAGTTGTTGGCTTTGGTCCATACGAGTGAGTACGCTATCGCAATGAGTGCTTTTGCATGCTTGGATTTACCTTGACTGACCACAAGTAGATGCCGTTTCGGGTGCAAGTGATGTATAACGACGCGTGAGATGATGATTGAATTGATACTATATCCAAGGACTTTGAAAAGGTGGTAGTATGGGCAGCTTGTTCAGACCCTTTGCTGTTCAACTGCTGGTCCTGCTGCTCCTTTTGCACTGTGCAATCAAGCGATAGTTCACTCGCTATCCCATTTAACCAGTACATGTTGTGTCTGCCGTTATAGCTGTTTAGTTTCGGATACTGGAAGCTGGTAGTAAAGCAAAAAAGTGAAATGTTCAAAATAGCATCCAAGAGATTGGCTTATAATCGCTTCCCCTCTTTCACTCATCTTATCAATAGTCACGAACAAACTACGTTTAAGCGTCTCTTTTCCTCTCGTTACTACCATCATGACTAGTTTGATCAACGCTGACACTCGCATCAAGTAAGTCTTTCTGCTGCACATTGATCTGTCTTGTCAAATTAAGTGCAATCCCAGAGTGAGCTCTGTACTCAACAGAGATACTACCAACTATGGCAAACAAAATTTGATCGATGGTCAAGTAGAGACATGCTGGAATTCAGAGCAGGTTGGTAGCTCACACGTCTATCCGTCGGATACGCACTGATTAATAGCGACAACAGGGCCTTCCACAAAACATACTACTTGATTTTCCTTCAGCAGTATCAGTAAACAGCATTATATTCCAATTTCAAGGTGGATTTGTCGGCAAAAAATGTGTGGTCGTAGGCAGCACAGTAGACGCACCCAACGACTACAGCATTGAGATTGACACGTTCTATCCCGAAGACATCAACCCTACTCAAACTTTCAATTTCGAAGCAACTCCAGCATTGAAAAGAGTCAAGATCGTATTTGAGGAGAGCACAGATTTTTATGGTCGCATTACAGTGTATAAATTAGATGTGCTCGGCCATGTCTGCTAAACAGCAATGCCAGCTGCTTTTCTATTCAGTAACCCGTATTTGCCAATCCAAATGATAATGACGATCAATCCAAGCACACATGCACCCAAATAAAATTGAATCACCATGCGTCTTCCCATTGTCAATAGCCCTCCTCTTGGTAAATTTTTGCGGTTGAAAATCATCATGGCTATGCAGATGAATCCAATCACAATCGTGTACACTAATCCGACGATCAATCCATGAGGAAATTCAATAGCTACACCAGCAAGTAACAATCCGTAGATGATGGATCCAATGCACCACACCACTTTGGTGACAATCGGTAAAGGGCCGTGCACTTGATTTCTGAAGGCAAACAGTTGCACCCAGCTCATGATCATGGCACCTCCAGCATACAAGTAATGCGCAATATAGTGTTCCCATGTCGTTTGCATGTTGAGATACATTTCTTGTAACACTGGATACTGAGCTACGAGTTCCGGATGAGCTATGTTGAAATCTTGAATGGGATGCTGTGCGTAATAGTAGAGTGAGCTTTGTGTTATGCATGTCTATTCGATTGATTTACCTTGAACAATGCGGCCGCTGTATGAACACCGTGAAACTGACAATACATTCCTGCACCCACTGTCCACAATAGCCATGTCACACTGGCTTCACTCAATGCGCCCCCTATTTGTTCATGCATACAATGCATCAGATCATCTTTTCCTATTTCTCTCATTAGACGGCTTACAGTAATTCGACCTTCCGCTGGTCATGGTATCTGCTCTTGTGATGACAAACAAATTCAACGGCAGTGTGATCAGTGGGTCAAAGAAGCGCCAAAGAGCATCGCCTGTAAACCAAGGAGATATATTCGGTAAATCAGCAACCACTGGGATCACTGTCATAATCAGTGTAAAGAATGCGGTGCCCAGCAACAGCCAAGCAAGTCTATTGTCTTCTGTGTGTAGCTCTTTATATGAAGTATGCCTCGATGGAAGCACTGAACTCGAAGGTGGTACCATCATGCCGCCTCGCCCATCGTTGTTGATGATAATCTCTTCTTCCTCGTCTTCAGAATCGACAAAATTTTGTTCAGGTGGTTGCCTCGTGTAAATGGAAGGCAATTCATATGTATCGTGTGCCATACTGTTTAACAACAAAAGGGAAAAGAAATATGTATCAAAGGGAAAAAAGTGTGCTTGATATCGTATGTGAGTTTAAATTTACAGTTGTATCAAATGCGGCGGGTTTCAGCTTATGTCTAATGGAAAAATATTACATTGTTAGGAAAATGTTCTGCCAAGACCTCGCAGCGTTTATTTTTACCACCATTTATACACAGTTAGCATGCCAGTTTGTGTCGCCTGACTGATGATAAGGAGAATCATTGGAAGTATATCATTGAGCTTTTGCAACTCAAGCCGATTGAAACATCAAGCAAAGAATAATGCGACAGAGATGCCATCATGTCGTGATGGCAAGATTTTTATTCCTCCTAGACATGTCTTTGGTATCAGCCTTGCAAGTGTCGTCATCTCTTTATTTCTCTTTTTTCAATAATGTATTATTCTTAGTTGTTGAACGTCCTGCGACAATAATGTTGGGCAGCAATATTTACGCTAGCTAAACGGTTCTTGACTCAATTTCTAGCTGACTTCCTTTCAAATCTAATTACTAAAAAAAACGACTATCGAGCAACAATAGCAAGTGCAGTAAAAAGGGGGTTAAAAAAGCAGGTAGAATACTGTTAAAATCCTTCTTTATTTGAAATTAGGATAATGTGCAATAAAATGTATATTCTACGTCTCTATTTATATTATTTGGTTTATATCTCTTATCTGGCAGCAGTTTAGTAGTTGCCAGTGATTCCATTACTTTATATATTTTTGTTGGGTCATTTAGTTGTTGATCTGATGGATCAAGAACGGTATTTCAATATATGGTTTTTGAATCATGCGTAAAGAATAGCTCTTTATTGTTGAGCCTGTATCCTTTTTAGGTATATTTATGTTACAACACATTACAATACCCTTGACATTTACTTTAGTATCTGTCATCTCTTATTTTAGAGCATTTAACCCTTGCTATCATCATGCTAATACTATTATTATGCATGCCTATCTGCTGATGGTAGCATGGTTTGATTGAGATGACATTTATTTTGGGTTTTGTTTATGATGGGAATCTAGTCTAGTTCACTTCAGCAAGGATTGCAATGCTCACCTAATAATGAAATACTATGTACATAAAACGTTGCTTCCTTTGCAGTTTGTGCTTTATAAATCAGTGTATTGCCTCTCGCTGCTCCAACCTCTGAGCCAATCAAATCGCTTAAAAACATCCTACAGACACCCCAAATCTTAGAAAAATTTTGCGAGGGTTTCCCTCTGTTTTGATGTGAGGCAAAATTTTAAGCGCCGCTATAATAGCAATATAGCCGCTGCTATCATCAAACTTCCCCCAGGTGCTAGAGCATGCCTTACTTACACCACCTAGCTTTAAATTCAGGCATTGAGACCCTCAATCATCACTAAAGTAAGTAGCGATAACCAAGTGGAGGCAGCCTATCTACCTCCTAGCCTCGGATAGAGTCTTGTTGAGCTTCAGGGATAGGCACATCCACACAACGTAAAGAAGTATGCTTCAAAAGAAACAGAATAATAACAAAAGAAGCGAACATAATAATTACTATAGGAGTATAGTAGTATATGTAGGCAAAAGAAAAAAAGAATGCTCACACGAGATGAGCCAAAGGAAAGTATGTTATGAATAAAATATTAAAAATGTTCACGTTATTATATTCTTGTTATTGCAACAAAAATACATACATGAGCAATGTGCATGATAACAGTCTGGTGATGTAAAAGAACACAAATGCGCACAATTGCAGGATCAACAGTAGCAGCAGTATAAGTGTTGTAATACAACATGAAGACCAATGTTGTTTTCATGTGAAGCGACAGAGGCAACACAAACAACAATCCACGGTTATATAACATAGTATCACAAGAAGGGTGATACAATTATATAGCAGTGTGTCATGCTTGTTGTTCGTAAATACGAAGCAACAACATTGCAAGTATTTGTTGAGCTGATCATATCACAGCCAGCAAAAAAAAAAAGAAAAGGCAATAAAGCAAACAGCATGAATGCATTATCGCGGGAAAGGAAGCAGTAGTACAAACGTTCAAAGAAGTTTATATCATTACAACCACAAGAAAAAAAAGATACTTACTACTTCTTACCACAGCATCACGACCAGAGACAGACCAGAGAACCAGCATACATCAAAGACAACAGACCACAGGATAAGCAAACATCAGAGAAGAACCACCGAAGCAACGATATACCATCAAAGCAGCCACCGCCAAGTGTGCAGCCAGTGCACAGCAAAAGATCAGAAATAGATCCCTAGTAGAGTTATTCCAAGTATAACCACAGTATAAAACGCGTTAACACTGTATCTTACGTCTATTGCGCAGCTTTCAATTATACTTGCTTCAATTCTATTCACAAAGGCAGCGTTGTTTCATGAGTAGAGAGCTTGCGAAGTATAGTATATATATATAAAGACGAAAAAAAAGGAAAGAAAATGCTAATAAAAGGCTGAGGCTAAAAGACGTCACTGTTATCAATGTACCGCAAGGTAAATACTAGAATTTGATAGCTTGCTACAAGGTAGCAAAGCAAGATATGAATTAGCAATTTTTACCATGAGGTTTGCCAACACCTTACCTATCAATCCGTTACATGTAATTAAGAGGTTATATTTGACAAGGGTAGCGAATTTACGTTTGAATTGAGCTACATACTAAAAAAAAGGCGGTATTTTAAACTATCAATAGCCCAACCTCCATAATACTCAAAATGAGGATTCATGGATTTCTGAAATCGTTTAGCCTTAATATCATGCGACTCTGAAAATAAAATTGCTTTCCAGCTAAATAAAACTTGAGGTAGAATTTAAAGGAAAATCTAATGATACCAATTTTAAGTGTTTTGGCCGACGTTATTAGGCTGATTTTTGATAGAATAGTTTTTGCGATTTTTTGGTTGTTTTTGACAGATTACCAGGTTTCTGTCATCAGAGCTTTACTTGCAAAACTTATCATAGTGTAGAACAGACAAGAGCCTATCGAACAAGCCCTGATTCAAAGCTCTAGTATGGCTCTATCACGAGATATCGCCAATTTTGTACCTCGAGAGAAATTCCTATCCAGATTTTTGCCTTGCTATCACAGGCAAATTTTGCATAAAAATCGATTGTTATGTCAAAATACAATGTAGAATTGAATCTGCCAAAGAATTACACTTTTATTGAGAACGCATCCCAAGGATGCATTTATATACTTTTTCATTATGCTAGGGTTTACAGCATGATGATGAACTATAACACAAATAGGTTTACTATCTACCCAACAATTGATTTGTAATTCATAATTAGCATGATTTAACCAAAGGACCTAAGAATAGCCTAAAACCTTTGGTGTGAGACCTTGCTATAACATTTGATATAACAGACTTGAGCAACTTATGGACGCTTCTGTGCTGTAGTCGTTACAGAAAAGCATGGTTTTGCCATTGTAAACTCCAAGTTGAGGGTTGAAAACTCAACTTTTCACAAAACAAGTATCGTTGCAGTGAAATCAGGTTTGAATAGATTTCACGACAAAAAATAAAGCAATAGTAAAATACAATAGAAATCAACTTTATTTTATTTGTGTATAAACTGAATTGAAGATCCTGGAATCGAGTAAAAAAAAGAAGAGTATTTATACATTTGCAGCTAGCTTGTAGGATTAGTGATGATAGAGAGCAATAGGTTCTGCTATTGCGATATCTGGCAAATGTTGTTGATGTCTGATTTAAAGTGGTAATCAATGCAAGAGCACTGGCCATAAGGGTCGATTTGAGTAACCTTGATGGGCTTGGGTGAGCTATCATCATAGCATGATTTAATGTAATCTTGATGGCTTAAAGTGTGATGTTTGTTATTGAAGTATGGAACCCTTTATCTGGGATATTGTGCAATTATGGCAGCAGGGCATAGTTGTCATATTTGAATATGCTTGTTATTGATTTGATTTTATTTGGATAAATATAACATCTCTTATTACGACCATCATGGGTGTGAGTGAATACACTGTGATCAGGAGTGATTCATTCACACGATGTGCGATATAAGCGTGGTGTATCTTTACTTTAGTATGTTTAAATGGTTGCTGATGTACGTTTGAGCGCTTTTACTACTAAAACCAAATAGTATGAATTTGAATGAGTGCTATTTGGTGAATTTCGGTTTTCAATCAAGTTGCGTTTGGGTGGCTATTTCATTACACGTGGATCTCGATATCTTGGCATTATGGTGATTGAATCTACTGTAGTTCCTGAGGCACCTGTGCACACACAACTGACTGGACTTGTAAACATAGCTGTGATGTGATACAATAAACATTGTCTATGTTGCTACACTGTAAAAGTGACTTGAGGAGAAAGTGAATGTACCCTAAGATGCATGCTTGTATGCAACATTGACGTACAGTTGAGCGCTTTATTAATAGATTCAAGTAGCATGAATTTTAGTGAGTGATATTTGTTGAATTCCGGTTTTCAATGTGGTTGTCTTTAGGTGGCTATTTCATTATAGTTTGTTCCCTATATTTTACTGGGACCCACCCAACGTGTCTGGTATTATCAGCCATTTCTCGTTAATAATTATGAGTGTCCATCATTGTGGATAGGCTTTAAGACTAGTAGTTTTACGGCTAGATATGGTATCTCCGCTTTGGACGACCAACAAAGGTTTTCTGCTGATCTAACGAGCATCTCATTCAATCCAAGCAAGTTGTTAGACTCAGATCCGTATAATATCGTAGACGCTCCAGTCTTCAAATTACTGCTGTTGTGCCAGAAGGGCTACAAGTGTTTATAAAGATTAAGGTATTCTTGATGGGTAGATATGTCTGTGTTGTGCAACAACACGGACAAGCTATGATAAGTGAAGTGCATCTCAGCTATCTAAATACTGAGGTTCACCAGATGTGATAAGCGTTGTACAAGATAAATTGCTACTTTGGCATTTAGAACTTAGTATGAATAGAATAACTCTTATCTTCATCAATAAATCTTTAGTTTTTGTGTCTAA